GAGCCGTTTGAACTAGGAGAGTGAATCGAAATGACAGCAGAGAGCCGGGCAGTCCGGTCCCAGGGGGCCATCGGGAGGGGATTAGGTTTCCTTCTGAATCGGGACCCTGGGAAGGGCTTACAGCCAAGGAAGGTGGGCGTGTTCGCTCTGGCAGCTGCGTAGAGAGGGGACTGGAGGAAGGGAACACCAGGTAGGAAGCTCCAGGGCAGACGGGGTGGCCGGGCCAGAGTGGTGGCAGCAGAGGTGGGTGCCACGGGCCAATTCAAGATGGACTTCGGAGCTGGGCTTTCTGATGGATTGGGGGCAGGGGGGGAGGAGGGGGAGAGAGGAATCAGAGACCATCCCCCTGGGGGTGAGGTGGTGATGGCAGTTAGTGAACAGAAGGCCGAGGCAGGGATATGTTGAGAGGCAGCGGAGTCAGAGTTCTCCCTTACACACACGAAGTCTGAGTGGATGGTGAGATGTTCCCGTGGAGATGTCAGGCCATCAGACCATAAATCTGGAGCTGAGAAAGGTTCAGGTTGGAGACAGACTTTTGGGAATACAAATGGAATCTATGCCCTCGCTGGTTTGGCTCAGTGGATGGAGCATCAGTCTGGGGACTGAAGGGTCCCAGGTTCAGTTCCAGCCAAGGGCACATGCCCGGGTTGCAGGCTCGATCCCCAATTGGGGGCGGGCAGGAAGCAGCCGATCAATTGTTCTCTCTGATCATGGATGTGTCTATCTCTTTCTCCCTCTTCTTCCTCTCTGAAATCAATAAAAATACTTTTAATTTAAAAAATACACACAAAAATGGAAATTAAACCTATGGGTGTGTGTACGATTACTATCCCTGTTTCCTAGGGCCATGGAAATTGTTCCACAAAATGTATGACTTAGAGCAGTGGTCGGAAAACTGCGGCTCACCAGCCACATGCGGCTCTTGGGCCCCTTGAGTGTGGCTCTTCCACAAAAACATCACATGCAGGCACACGTGTACAGTGCGATTGAAACTTTGTGGCCCATGCGCAGAAGTTGGTTTTCAGCTCTCAAAAGAAATTTCAATCAATAACGTTGTACTGTTAATATTTGACTCTGTTGACTAATAAGTTTGCCAACCACTGACTTAGAGCAACAGGGATTTATTTTCTGGAGGTGAGAAGTCCAAAACCAAGGTGGTGGCTGGGGCATCTTCCCTCTGGGGCCTGTAGACAGGATCCTTCCTTGCCTTTTCCAGCTTCTGATGGCTCCAGATATCCCTTTGGCAGCATGACTCCTGTCTCTGCATCCTCCTTCCCATGACTGTCTTCCCTCTGTGCCTACGCCCAGATTTCCTGCATCTTATGGGGCACCAGTTATATTGGACTAGGGGCCCACCCTACTCTAGTATGACATCCTCTTACTAATTACATCTTCAGTAACCGCATTCCCAAAATAAGGTCATGTTCTAAGGATTTCAACGTGTCTTTTTTTTTTTGGTGGGGGTGGGGGTGCAGTGGGGGAGAGAGACACCATTTAATCCATGACAATCTCTGGAGCCAGGATGAAAAGAGAAAAGAGAAAGCGTCCTAGGAGTTTGCCATCTTGTAGCAGTCAGATAGAAGCAAGTCAGCAAAGAATATGGACAAGCCACCCACAGAGAGACAGGATGGATGTGGAGAGAATGGTGGACTCTGGGAAGGAAATTCCGCTCTCGGGTCACAGGGCTGAGAAGCTGGCCGATGGCAGTAGCAGCGTGGTCACTGCTGACCTTGGCCAGCGCAGCACAGGAGCTGAGCAGAGGGCAGGGCCCAGTGGAGGAGGCGAGAAGACGGTGGGAGGCAGAGCGGCGGAAAAGGCAGGTCACTCTCGGAGATCAGGCTTTAGAGGGAGAACAGAGAAGTAGGGCAGCAGCTGCTGGGAGAAGAAAGGATTAAGGAAGGCTTTGTTTTGTTTTCGGTGTGTTTTGTTCTTGCGTTTGTGCTTTATTTTTTCTCAAAGGGTGATGCTAGAGCACGGTTGTGAGCTTGAATTAGCTCCATCTTCGCATTGTGTGTGTTTTGTATTCAGTGTTTGCTATCACGTGTGTGTGTGTTCCCGTGTTGCCTCCCAGCATCGGGGCCCTTCAGGGCAGGCCTGTGCCCTCTGTTTCTCTCCTCTCCCAACCGTCCAGCCTGGCGCTCATTCATTATGGTCAAGGCAAGAAAAAGACCCTGTGCGCAGCATGGCACCACGAACACCGTCCTTTCACTTTCTGAGGGAAAAGGACTGGCAGTGGTTTTCGCAGGTGCTGCTCGTGGAACGTCAGCTGACAAAAACCTTATCTGCTGTTCTCGCCAGAGAACGTCTCCGAGGTGCCCTTTGTGAGGCAAGCTCATCTGTTAGGTTCTGCCTGGCACGTCCGCAGGGAACAGAAGCTGGAAACAGGGGCCTGAGAACAGTGGATTGACCTCCTAGGGCACATGTGTCAAACACAAGGCCCGCGGGCCAAATCCGTCCCGCCAGGCCTTGCAATGTGGCCCGCACCGTGCTGTCATCACTGCACTCCGCTGCGTTTCCATCACAATGACAGTTTATGACTGTTCAGTTAACCATTCGGCCCGCGATTTAGGCTGGATTTTAGATTTTGGCCCCTTCTCTGATTGAGTTCGACACCCCTATCCTAGGGAGAGCAGCCCATGGTCACGTCCAGATGCCCCATGAAACCAGACCAGCCCGTTCTCCAGACCCACCTGGAGACCGGAGTGTCTGGCCACCGGGGGCAAAGGCACAGGTGACAGGAATAGGGCGCAGGGTCAGAGGTGCGTGATCTGGAGTAAGCAGCCTGCGGAGGAGGCTCCTCGGAGCCCACACCAGGACTCTTCCCCACGAGTGCGGGGAGCAGGCAAGCACACCTGACTCTGCAGCCGCGAGGCAGACACCCGTCGTCAGACGTGCAGTCTTCCCTCCAGTGTTCTTTTCAGAGAGTGCTTCTTTTCTGGGGGGTGTGGGTTTTTAAAGCCATCTCTAAAGAAACTGCGTGGCGGGAGGCTAGCTGGGATTAACTACAGCAATCCCACCAATGGCACGCCGTGGTCAGGTGGCTCCGGAGCCCCGGTGTGTGTGGGCATGCTGGGCACAGTGGCCTAGGCCGATGTGGGATCGAAGGCCCGTGACACAGGACAGGCCAGCAGTGACTTAAAACCATCCCAGGCTCCTCAGGGCGTCAGTGCCAGAGGACAGGAGCGCCCTCCCGTGGTCACACAAATGGTCACAACCAGGACTGCAGGGGGCCAGGAGCTGGCAGAAGATGCCCGGCAGGGAGGGGACAGGGACAGGACAGGACAGGACAGGACAGGACCATTAAGTAGCCCCGAGGCAGCTACCCGCCTCTACAGTAACTCCCTCCTGGGGAGACAGCCTTGCATTGTGGGAAAAGCACGTCTGGCAGCCCAGACAGGGACTGCGGCTCTCTACCAGCGCCCAGCACAGAAACTCCTTTTTACTGGGACGTGTGAACATACAGACTTTGTAATAAGACACTCTGGTTTTGGTTTTGGTGGTCCAGTACTGTCATCTGGATGAAAAGGATGAGCAATGAGGGTGAATTTATAGGAGCAAGGTTGGGGGGCGGGGGGCGTTGTGTGAGAGGGGACAATCAGCTCCCGATGGCAAGGCGAGGGGAGGTGGCTTCACTCATGCCCTTCCTCCCAGCTCCCCGCCCACTCCCGCTGCCGGAAGCGCAGGAGAGCAGCACCGTCTTCATCGCTTCATCAAGCGAGGACTTTCTGGAGGAAACAGGAATTGGGCTAATGTGGGTTTTGAGCAGCGGAGTGCCTTGAGCCACATCTTAGAAACACAAGCTGCATTCACATCTCATGCTTTGAACTTGTTTTTCTCCTAAATGGACCCCTACCTGATCTTTGCAGGTCCTGAGAAAAGAAGAGGCACTGTGCTCCCTGGTTTGGGGACTGCCTCTGTGTGATGTGCTCTCTGAGCTCCAGTGCTCTCCTCCGGAAGCACAGCATGCTCCTCACAGCAGCGGGTCAGAGTGGGCTTCTGACTGACATCAGACTGCGTAATCATGAAAATGGCTCTGCAATTGCAATATTAGAGGACTTTTTAAAAACTTTTATTGATTGATTTGAGAGAGAAAGAAAGAGAATCATCATTTCATCATTCCACTTATTTATGCATTCGTTGGTTCATCGTTGTATGTGCCCTGACCCGGGATCCAACCTGCAACCTTGTCGTATCAGGACAACCCTCTAGCCCACAGAGCTGCCCAGCCAGGCTGGCGGACCTTTTGGGAGGCTAACTTTTTAGAAGCTAATAAAAAACAGTACTTCCTTGGGAAAGTGGGATACCAACTCCTAAGAAAGGGGTTGTTGGCATGGGTGGATATTATAGTGTATCTCTTTGTTCTGGGGGAGGCCTCTTGTGTATATGGTATGTTATTGAAAATAGAATGCCTGTATTTCAGAATTCTTTTGCAAAAGCTGGGCGTTCTGTAGACATTGGTTGCCTGAGTTTTCTTACAAAGGAAAGCTCCTGGGTGTCTCTATTTTTTTTTTAAATATATTTTATTGATTTTTTTACAGAGAGGAAGGAGAGAGGGATAGAGAGTTAGAAACATTGATGAGAGAGAGACATTGATCAGCTGCTTCTTGCACGCACCCTACTGGGGATGTGCCCACAACCAAGGTACATGCCCTTGACCGGAACGAACCTGGGACCCTTGAGTTAGCAGGCCAATGCTCTATCCACTGAGCCAAACCGGTTTTGGCTCCTGGGTGCCTCTAAAGGACTCTGGTCCCTCTGGTGGGAGTGTGACGGGGATGGAGCCAGCAGTGTGGGTCCCTCTGGGTCTGTTCTGGAGCCACCGAGCAGCCAGGACCGGGCCCAGTGCTCACGGGAGGACTGAGCCGAGATGGGAGGGTCACTGCCACCCAGTGTGGGAACCACGGCCCTGAGGTTCACAGAGAGGGTTTATGTGGAGTTCGTGTCAAAGTCACTCCCGCATTCCTCAACGGCTAACGCTTTCTTCCTCTCTGCTCTCCTAGGGCCCCTGAGATCATCCTCGGCTTACCGTTCTGTGAGGCGATCGACATGTGGTCCCTGGGCTGCGTCATCGCCGAGCTGTTCCTGGGCTGGCCGCTCTACCCAGGCGCCTCCGAGTACGACCAGGTGGGTCCGGCTGCACCGCTGTTCCGGACGGTCGCTGTTTCCCTGAGAACAGGACACGCGGGCGGGTGATGGGGTTCATGTCATCTCCCAGATCCTGCTTCCCTCAGCCTTGCTCTTCTCCCTTTATTCTTCTTTCTGTCCCCTTTTTCATTTTTCACTTCTTTCTTTCCCTGTAACATTGTCTTTTTCTCAAAGGCACTAGAGCCATTAATATACCGCATGCAAGGTGACAGGAAGCTCCCTGACCTCGTTCTCCTCTTTTCTTGCAGATTCGGTATATTTCACAAACACAGGGTTTGCCAGCTGAATATTTATTAAGCGCGGGGACAAAGACAACGAGGTTTTTCAACCGTGACACGGACTCGCCGTATCCTTTGTGGAGGCTGAAGGTAGGAAGAGCGTCCCCTCCATCCCTCACGAAGGCCCAGCGTTCAGGAAAAGGGGCGGGCGGCTTGTGGGGAGCTCTTGGCAGCAGCCCGCACCGGGGGAAGGGCGGTTGTGATGTGTAGTGTGGACGGATTTCAGTGTTCAAAAGCACCGCTTTGCTTGGCTGCTGCCACCTGCAAAGCTCAAGTCCCAGCTCCGACTGCTGAACTCCCAGGATTCACTTAGGTGAACCCGATGGCCTGTCTGGTTTGTGTGAAGAGAAATGCGCCACCCCCTGCCCTAAAGGAGCTCCCAGTCCTGAGGGAGGCCGAGCACGTGGCCCCCACGTAAGTGTCCTACCCCTGGGAGGAGCAGGGTGCAGGGACCTTGAACCCTGCCTGGCGAGGGCCCCAGAGGAGCTTGTGAGCCGGACCCTGAGGATGAGGATGGTCTCCGGGCCCAGGAAACAGCCCCGGCAGCCACACCTTCGGGGCCCCACTGCGGGTCGGTTCCTCCAGCCGGCGGGTGCTGCCACTCACCATTGCACACCGGGAACTCGGGTGGTTTTACTTCAATAAAAACACGTTTTGCTTTCACTTTTCTCTGTGCTCAGGAGTTAAAAATTAACGTAATTTCCTGGGGGGGGGGGGGGGGGAGAATGCTAGTCTTAAGTGTCTTACTTCATTTTTGGTGCTTCCTTTTTTGTAAGAGAGTGGGTGGGTGTTTTGTTTGGTTTGGTTTTTTGACAGAAACCATAGCCAAATTCTAATATGATTTAAAGGTAATGAGTGGAATCTAATGAACAAAATAAATAAACAAAATAGAAACAGACTCATAGGGGAGAGGGATTGGAGAGTTGGGGCGGGGGGGAAGTGAAGGGATTAAGAAAAAAAAATTTTTTTACATGTCCTAGCTGGTTTGGTTCAGTGGATAGAGCATTGGCCTACAGACTGAAGGGTCCCGCGTTCGATTCTGTTCAAGGGCACATACCCAGGTTGAAGGCTCTATCCCCAGTAGGGGGCAGCAGGAGGCAGCCGACCAATGATTCTCTCTCATCATAGATGTTTCTATTTCTCCCTCCCTCTCCCTTCCTCTCTAGCATCAATAAAAAGAAAACTTACAGACACAGACACCAGTATGGTGATTATCAGAGAGGAAGGAGGGTGAGGGGAAATAGACTTGACTTTGAATGGTGAGCACAGAATACAGTATCAGGGGATGTGTTATAGAATTGTACTCTTGAAACCTGTATAACCTTATTGACCAATGTCACCTGATAAATCCATAAAAATAAATAAAACAAAGTTCACGTGTGGCCAACAGTCACAAAAGACTTCGAAGAGAGATTTGGGAGCCAAGTGAGCACTCGTGGTCTGTTGGTGGGAGGGCTGGCCTTTGATGGCTGTGAGAGGCATAAGGTCAGTCCAGTAGAAAGAGTCCCGGGCGGAGGAGAATGAGGCCAGAGAGGCAGGGCTCACGTCCATATCTCAGTTAAGAGCCTCGGTCCTACTTGTCCCAGGATCGAAGCCTAGATCTTTAGCTTCTCCACGGGTGCTGTCCTGGAATGAGATTTTGAGGTTTACTTCATTGAGATCCATGGATGAGCAAGAAAGAGAGAGAGAGAGAGAGAGAGAGAGAGAGAGAGAGAGAGAGAGAGAGAGAGAGAAAGGAAAGAAAGAAAGAAAGAAAGAAAGAAAGAAAGAAAGAAAGAAAGAAAGAAAGAAAGAAAGAAAGACAACAACAAAAAACACAAACACATAGCCACTGGGAACAGCGGCTTCCTAGACAAGGCCAGTGGGGTCCCGGACGAGCGTGCCCTGCCCCGGGCGGAGGGGCAGCACAGAGCAGCCCCCGAGCCTGCTGCTGCCTCCTGGCCATGTGACCTTGGCAAGCTCCTAAGCTTTCTATTCCTGTTTCTCCCTCTGGAAACGGGTTGGTAATCATCTGCCTAAGATGGTTGTAAAGTGTCTTAAGTGAGTTCTTGTGCTTTATAATGGTGCCTGGCACGTAGGCAGAGCTGTACGCATAAACGTTTGATAAAAAACTAAATTAAATTTTTAAATGTGTGGAAGAGGGCTTCTGCTTTTCTACATATGGAATCTTACCGTAGCCGTTAAATTAGGGGGAAATGTAGGGTTTTCGTGGATACTGCATTCCTGTTCATCTTGGAATCCTACAGACCTGACTCGGAGCAGGCCCCCTGACAGGTGTTTGTTTGTGGGAAGGAAAGAAGGGGGATGAGTGAGTGTGGAAGATGAAGGGAGAGTAATTAGAATGCAGGTCACTTTAAGAGGAATCAAAGTCTCCTTCTCCAAAAGGCGGGAAAAGACCCTCCATGAGAAACAGAGGGTAGAGGTTTTAAGTCACAGTTACCAGGAAGTAATTCACAATCGGCTTTTGCTTCTCTTGACCAGACACCAGATGACCATGAAGCAGAGACGGGGATTAAGTCAAAAGAAGCAAGAAAGTACATTTTCAACTGTTTAGATGACATGGCCCAGGTAAGCTCCATGGGTGAGCATGCAATGTCAGCCCTTAAAAATCAAGCACAGGCCGAAACCAGTTTGGCTCAGTGGATAGAGCTTTGGCCTGCGGACTGAAAGGTCCCAGGTTCGATTCCAGTCAAGGGCATGTACCTTGGTTGCGGGCACATCCCCAGTAGGGGTTGTGCAAGAGGCAGCTTATCGATGTTTCTCTCTCATCGATGTTTCTGGCTCTCTATCCCTCTCTCTTCTTCTCTGTAAAAAATCAATAAAAATATTTTTTATTTTTTTAATATATTTTATATTTAAAAAGAAAACAAGCACAGCAAGGCTTCTGCAAGAGCAATATAGGGTGGTGAGTAGAAATCCACATTACTCAACTGCCATGATTGACCCTTGACTCATGACCTGCCAGCCTGAGGAAGAATACCACTGAGTTGTGGGACACTTTTATTTTTATTTTTTATTTTTTTTAAATCAATCTTTATTGTTCATATTATTACACAGGTTCCTCGTTTCTTCCCCCCTCCACCAGGTTCCCACCCCACCCTCTGCCCCCTCATCCTCATCCATTGGTGCACAGTTTATGTTCAGTCTCTTCCTCCCTCCCTTTCCCCGATAGTAAATCCCTTTTCAGATAGCAAATCTGTTACTTAGCATTTTCTCATATCAATAATACCTCCACATGCCCAATGATACACTTCACACAAAAGACATTTCCTAATAGGACAACCAGCCTCATCCAGGCCCCACCCAAGGCACTCACAGATCAACACCCCAGCACTATACTAACTCAACACATCCAGATATAAGCCTTCATCACTTGATTCAGCAGACCCTCAAGTTCCCGCAAAAGTTTCCAGCCATGTCTGAGAGGCAACCGTGGGACAGGGGCAGGTGAGGAGCGAGCTGTTTTGGGCCAGGCTGCTCCGGGCCTGGCCTCTGTTGCTCTGGTTCGTTCCACAACCAGCTGCTCCGTGTCTGGTCACTGCCGCTCCCGACCCAGTTGCTCTGGACTTGGCTGTTGCTGCTACAGGCCTGGCCACACCCGACTCGGCTGCTTTGGGCCCAATTGCTCCGGGCCCGGCCGCTCCGGGCCCGGCTGCTCCGGGCCTGGCTGCTCCCAGCCTGACAGCCGCTGCTCCGGGCCTGGCCGCACCAGAACCGGCTGCTCCGGGCCTGGCCGCTCCCAGCCTGGCAGCCGCTGCTTCGGGCCTGGCCGCACCCAGCCTGGCAGCCGCTGCTCCAGGCCTGGCCGCACCGGACCCGGCTGCTCCGGGCCTGGCCGCTTGTGGGACATTTTTAAAGCCTTACACCAGCTCTTGAAAAATGGCTTCAGTTTATTGGTTTCCATTTGCGAAATAGTACTGGGCAATCTCACTGACGTTTTCATGAGAAGAATTTAAGCCCACTGGTACATTTGAGTTTAATGCCCTTGACTCTGTGCTAGTTCCTAAGGGCTGCTGTAACAAGGTACCACAAACTGGGTGACTTAAGGCAACGGGCATTTATTCTCTAGAAGCTAGAAGTTTCAAATCAAAGTACCAATAGGCCATGTTTCCTCAAAAGGCTCTGGGAAGGAACTCCCATGCCTCTCTGCTAGCTTCTGGTGGCCCCTGGATGGGCTCAGTGTCCCTGCAACCCCAATCTCTTCCTCCTTCTTCATGTGGCTTCAGCCTGTGTTTCCTCTGGCCTCTGCATCTAAATCTCCCTCTTCTTTTTCTTATAAAGACACCAGTCATTGGACTTACAGCCCACTCTATTCCAGTTTGACCTCATTTTAACTGGATCACATTCTATTTCCAAATAAGGTCACATTCACAGGTGCCGAGCATTAGGGCTCAAACATGTCTTCTGCAGGGACACAATTCCATGCATCGCACTCAGTCTCTCTCAGCTCACTAGAGGGGCCACAGGCTCTCACTTTTGTAACCAGAGAAGGTGCTAGAACTTCAGCTATCTTTAGTGTAAAGACTAGTCTCAAATCAGGGCAACCCAGAGTGAATTTTTCTTAAAAGCAATGAAAAGAAAAGCTAGAGATCAATAAACATTCAGCACCCCTCTTACGGAAGACAAGTGTAACCCAAAATCATGACGCTGAGTCGAGTATCCTTGTCAGTTGATTAGAAGCTTAGATTGTCTTAGGAAACAGAAATTGCTTTCCAGAGCATGTCTTGGAAAACGCAGGAAGCACCACAAAACAAGTCTCTTAAAGGCTTTGCTAGTAGAGACTTGATCTGAGAGAGAAAATTCTGCTCAAACACCCTGCTTGTCTGGCAGAGGGGACCCCGTGACTGCAGGCACTGAAATGACCCGGCCCCAACTCAGAGGGCCACAGAGGACGGCACACTGTAGATGGAGGGGGAGGGCACTTAGGCCCCAGCATTTCCCTCCGAAGGTTAAATACATGAACCTTTTGCATCTTATTTTGTACTCTTGGTTGTTTCTAATTGTGGTAAAATACACATAGCACAAAATTTACCATTTCAGTATTCTCAACTGTCCAGTTCAGTAGTATTAAGTTCATTTACACTGTTCTACAACCAACCTCCGGAGTTCTTTTCACCTTATGGTTCTCTTCCGTGAGGTATGATGTGAGGCACATTTTTATTTAACTGATTATCACGAGAGGGTACACATCCTGTAACTTACGTATGTCGTAGGTACCGGCAGCGACTGCCCCTTCCCCATGTGTGGCCTCCCCCTGCCTTTCCTGCAGAGCCCTCCATATCCTGTGGGCACAATGGCAGGTGGCAGTGCCTTCAAAGGGCAGACACCGCCCTGTAGGAATGAAGAAGGGGGCGCTGAGAGATTGGATGGAGCTGCAGAGCGTAAGGGGAGTCGAGGAGGCACAGCGGGGTCCCGGTAACCTGTCCTCCTTGCTTCCAGGTGAACATGACCACAGACTTGGAAGGGAGTGACATGTTGGTGGAAAAGGCAGACCGGCGGGAGTTCATCGACCTGTTGAAGAAGATGCTGACCATCGATGCTGATAAGAGAATCACTCCGATCGAAACCCTGAACCACCCCTTTGTCACCATGACACACCTACTCGACTTTCCCCACAGCACACAGTAGGTGTCCTGCTCCGTGCTCTATACCAGGGCTCAGCAGCTTTTTCTTCAAAGCCTCAGGGTGAATGTTTTAGGCTTTGCAGCCAAACGGTCTCTGTCGCAATCAGCTCTGCCATTGCAGCTGAAAGCAGATGCAGACAAGACATAAACAAAAGAGTGAGGCTGCGTCCCAATAAAACGTTATTATAAAAACAGGTGGCGGAGCATAGGGAAGTCCAGGGCTGGGTGGGCTGGGCTCTGGGCGTCTGTGCATGAAGGGAAATGCTCAAAATGGCAGGTCCGCAAAGCAGAGCCACTCTCTGTGACAGAGGTCACGCCCAGACCCTTCTGGGGGGGACTTTGTCTAGTTTGGATTTGGTTTCGTTCGTTCATTCATTCAGCGTGCTGTGTGCTGTGCCAGCTGCTGGGGTACAGAGCAGTTGGGGCTCCTTCCCACTGGAGCTTACAGTCTAGAGGAGAGAAAGGTACAAAGCTAGTGATGCCCAAATAACCAGGCTGATATCAGGGCAAATATGGGGTGTGATGAGAGCGAGTGACAAGGGAGCCTCACTAGAGACAAGGCAGGAAGTGAGTGCAGAAGGACGAGTAAGAGGTAACTGATGAGAAGGCTGATGAGGGTAGAAAGAGTATTGCTTGTGGGGAGACTCCACCATGGACAGGACCAAGCCCAAGAGCTGGGGGACAGTGGGAGAGCTGAGGCCCCAGGACCAGGTGGGGCAAACCTACCTTGTACCAGAGTTTGGTCTTGATCCTAAAAGCAATGGGGAGTCGTTGAAGGACCTGGAGAAGGAACTGGCTGGTTAGAGTGTCAAGTCCATGAGCCCTAAAGACATGGCCATCATGTTGGTGACTCAGAGCTGTTTCAGTAGATGATGGAAGCAGAAACCAGCTTAGCTGGTTGAAAGCCTAAGGGAAAGGTGGAGAAATAGGCAGGGTCCTTTCAAGAAAGGAGGCTGTGGAAGGGGTGGGAAGAAATGGAGGGGTGACTAGAGAGGGCCCAAGGGAGAATTCTGGAAGAGACTTGAGCAATTGAAAATGCTGACTGGAAGTGTCTGGTACCAAGTGAGAAACTGAAGATGAAAGATGCTCTGAAGAGAAGTTTCCTGAGACAGTGGAAGGGGCTGGGCCTCAGAGCACAGGTGGAGGAGTAGGCCCGTGTCGCCATGGTGAAGGAGGGGCGCAGATGTTGGCTGGAGTGCTGGGTTCGCAGAGGAAAGTTGAGGGAGCTCTTCAGACAGTTGTCTTCTCTTGTTGAGAGCAAGGTGTTCAGGTGGGGGAGTTTCGGTAGTTGAAGCAGAAGGTGGCAGGGAAAACTGAACAGAGAAACAGTGGAATTGTTGAGCACGGAGGTTGGACCTGAAGAGCAGGGTGTAACAACTCCCCGGGTGAAGGCATGGAGAAAAGAGAGAGTTGGGTAAATCCGGGTTGGAGTGATGTCAGGCTGCTAAGAGAAGAAGAGATTGACACACCCATGATGTTGGAATAGAGCGTTGTAATCCCAATGGATGGCTGTGGGACTTCAGCTGAAAAGGAAAGGAAGTAAAGATGAGAAGGTCCAGAGACACTTAGTCTGACCAACTCAGACTGGCTACTTTAGTCATTGCCAGACGAACCAGATGGGTGACAATGTGGCTGGGGACGGAGTACTTGAATTTGTGGTCTATGGGGGTGGAGCAGTGTCAGGTTTGATATCCAAAGAACCCTCAGCCAGCACTGATCCTGGGGTGAGAAGTAACTGAGAAGCCAGGGTGTCTGGCAGGTTGTCTGTGTGCCCCTTGAAGAATCCCTCGGTGGCAGGGTATGTGTTAAAGTGGAAGTCTATGTCAGAGGCACAGGCCCGGTGAGTGAGCAGGGGAGAAAAGGCCATGGTGAGAGAATGGGAGACGGTGCTAGTTTTCAGAGTCTGTGATAACAAAATACCACTGAGGGGCTGAGGGGCTTAAGAAGCAGAAATTTGTTTTCATACAATTCTAGAAGTCCAAGGTGTTTGTCAGAGCTGGTTTCTTCTAAGGCCTCTCTCCTTGGCTTATAGATGGCTGTCTCCTCCCTGTGTTCTCACAGGGTCTTCCTTCCTCCTCGGAATGAATTGGACTAGGGCCCACCCTACTGACCCCATTTCACCTCTTTGAAGATCCCATCTCCAAATTCAGTCACATTCTGAAGTACGGGGGTTAGGACTTTAACATGAATTTGGGGGGAAGGGCACAGTTCAATTCACAACACAGGCTAACCAGGAATATCACGTCAGCCACTCACCCCAGAGGTCTGTGGGACGAAGGTCACATCTCTGGTCGTCTGCAGGGAGAAGCAGTGTGCTCATGAGCACCAGATTAGACAGGGTCAGGGGGAAAGGGAGAATGTGTGGGAAGAGGCTGGGGAAGAGAAGCATTTGCAGATCATGGTTGACCTGCCATGACAAGACTCACATTGGGCTGAATCTCAGGCTGTACTTGAACTTAACCAGCCTACAAGAAATGACTGATGGCACTTCCTCTCATTTCAATTTTATTCTTTGTCAGTTGATGTTAAGCAAGTCAACTCTCATTACAACAAGCAGTGAGTCTTTAATTTAGAACCGTGTTTGAAACAACCGAACTCCGGAACAGACAGAGAACGTGGACCCGTCCTTTGCAAACCCTTGTTATGGTATTTGTTCTGTTTCTGGGTGTGGAAGGAGTACTCCAACGGGGTGTCCTTCGGTGCCACAGAGGGAAGCCGGGCGTGGTGACTTACTGAATAGGGCCCCCAAAAGATCACTTTTTATACTCAGGTGTGAAGTGGGATGATTGGGGAAGAGCTATGAATAGGAGATGGAGGGATGCTCTCCAGATGGGTCACATTAGCCATCTGTCAGTGAGACAATCACCCACATAAAGTCAGAGTCACGGCTGAATGGCCTCAGGGTCCTGTCCCTCTCCAGGCTCCGGGAGGAAGCACACTAGAACGCTTCACTGTACTTGGTGAAGACCAAGCAGGGAGACCAAGAGCATCAGCTTCAAATTCAGAACTCGGTGTGGGTCCCAAGAGGACCACTGGCAGTTTATAACTCAGAAAATGGGCCTCAGAAGGAAAGACAAGTCTTTGAGCACACCGAGGCTTACCTGAGAGTGGGCCTAATCCCTAAGGGGCCCTGGAACTTGCTGAGAAGGCCAGGAGAACTCCAGGGCAAGAGAAACCTCCAGGCCCACCCTGCTGTAGACCCCCACCTTTGGGACTGGGCCAGAGCTGCCCCAACATCTAGATGAGAAGTGAAAGAGACCCACCCATTTCTCCATACCAGGATTGTAGTACACAAGTTCCTTAAAAACGAGTCTCATAGAAGTAACCCAAAGTGCAACTGACAGGCCATTTCAGTTAGAAAATTCTGAGTCTAATAGCTTTTGGCTGAATTGTCACAAAATTATTGAGTGCTTTCCATACATTCCAAAGGGAATATAAAATCTATATTTTTATTCCTTCAGCCTCTACAGGAAAGCACTTAGCAGTGTGTTGGCACTTAGTAGATGCTCAGAACATGCTGGCCTCCCCAGCATTATTAGTTTTTTTTAGCTTTTGGTTATTGTAGGATACGTTTTCCCTTCTCTCCAGGGTTTACAGACAGTAAATGATTTTGTGCGCATTGTGTGGCCAATGTAAGTAATTCTTAACTCGGAAAGAAAGAGGAGTCTCTGGCATGTCTAAGACAGTTTGGAGCATCTTTTATGGAAAGGATGTTTTGGGGTGGCCCACAAGCACCCACTTGGCCCAAAACATAGTTTACCTATAGAATGCAAAAATAGTATTACCTTTGTAATCTTAAAATAGTAGAAAATTATATTATTTATATTCAGTTATTACATTATTAGAGGCCTGGTGCACGAAATTCGTGCACAGGGTGGATGGGGTGGGAGATTGTCCCTCAGCCCAGCCTGCACCCTCTCCAATCTGGGACCTCTGGAGGGATGTCCAACTGCCCGTTTATGTCCCAGATTGCAGTTGGACATCCCTCTCACAATCCAGGACTGCTGGCTCCCAACTACTTGCCTGCCTGATTGCCCCTAACCACTTCTGCCTGCTAGCCTGATTAATGTCTAACTGCTCCCCTGCCAACCCGTTTGTCCCCAACTTCCCTCCTCTGCTGGCTTGGTCACTCCTAAGTGCCCTCCCTTGCAGAGTTGATCACCTTCAACTGCCCTCCCTTGAAGGCCTGGTCCCTCCTAACCGCCCTCTCCTGCTGGCCATCTTTTGTCCACATGGGGGCAGCCATCTTTGACCACATGGGGACAGCTATTGGGTGTTGGAGTGATGGTCATTCTGCATATTACTTTTATTAAATAGGATAATAAATAAGTATTTAAAACTGAACCTTAAATGCTGTTTTATTTTGAATATTAGCATTTGAGGAAAGGTAAATTTAACTAGAAGAAGTCACAAACTGACTGAGAAACAAGGTATAAATTCTGAAGAATGCTTTATGGTGGACTTTCACGAACTTGGTCGAGGGCACTTATAACTTTCAAGAGGATGTAGACGTATATGTGAAGATTGCCAGTAATTAACTCTTGACCTCCTTGGCAGATTACCTGTCCTCTCTAAAGTTCATCCTTACTCCTAAAATAGGAGCCCTCATCTCTCATCTCTCCCTCTTATGGTGGTTGTAGGACTAAGTGCAAGAATCTTGTACACAACTACCACAGTTCTCTGTCACTGTCAGCCACTATTACTAATTACTAATATCATGACAGTTCTCATTACATGCCCAATTCCTTTGAGGAGAGAATGGGTAATAGGGTCATGATACTGGGTTGGCTGGTCCCTTGGCTGTCCCCTAGATGGCGCCGGTGCCCCAGACTCGCTGGGAAGGATTAGCGCAGGGAGTTGTCTTGTGGAAGGTGGCAACAGGTCATGCATGAGACCGTACACATTTGTTTATGGACCAGAAACCTTCCTGAATGCTGAGAATGAGCAGGGAAGGTGGAGACAGATCAGCGACATGGGGAAAATGCAGTGAGAGCCACCAGGTCTGTTGTGCTAAGAACCACCAGGTCTGTTGTGCTGTGGAGAACCGTTACCTGTGCAGGCTGGGGAGAAAAGGCAGTAAGATGGGGTGAAACTTACCTAAATACTGTTAACTGTAGCAAACCCAGACTTTACATGAGAAATCCAGGAAATTTAAGCCTAAAGTTTCCCCACTTGTCTTGTTTACTAGAATTAACTGTTCTCTCTTATTTCTCTCGCCATTTTTTCCTCCTTTATCCCATGCTACCCTCTTCTCTTTCCCTTATACCTCTGTCTCTGCCTTTCTCATGAACAGCGTCAAATCATGTTTCCAGAACATGGAGATTTGCAAGCGTCGGGTGAATATGTATGACACCGTGAACCAGAGCAAAACCCCATTCATCACACACGTGGCCCCCAGCACATCCACCAACCTGACCATGACCTTCAACAACCAGCTGAACACTGTCCACAACCAGGTGAGTGGGGAGCAGAGAAGGCCGGCGGGGCTGACAGCATCAGGAACCGTATTTCCCCAGCACACCCAGTCAGAAGACAGAATCCCTCTGCTGTCACATTCAACCCTGTAAGGTGTTTGCACCAAGGTTATTTTCTTTGAGACGCCAGCGCTTTCTGTCCACTGGTAGCCCCATTGAACAAGTTGTGTGCATCTCACTAGGGAAGTTGTTTCTGAGATGGTACCTCTTACTGCCCTGATGTAGGAATAAGGTAAAGGAGATGCTGTGATCCTTGTATGTCCGGCTTCTGCCTGGTAAAGAATTCTGAACTGGGACGCTAGTGATCATCTAGTTTGGGCCCCTCCTCCTGGTCCCCAGACAGCTGTGTCCACATGACCTCCTTCCAGGACAGATGAAACCTATCCTTTCTCCAAGTCGTGGGGAAAATCAATTCAGTCTGTCCTCAGGAATCTAAGGTTTTCTTCCCATACATGTCCCACCTTCCACAGAAAATTAGCAGGCTCTAGCATCTAACATGCTGCTTAAAATATGGATGACACCAGGAAATATTTATTGACTGAATAATCTGCAGGCCCTACCTCAGGCGGTCTCGGTGTCTAAGAGACCTTTACTGCCGTCTTCCAGTGTTAACCAGTTCCCCCAAAGAGTCTCCCTAGATTTTTTCAGTTTTAATATCAGTCTGCGGTGACAACACTCCTGTATGTGTACACACACACACACACACACCTCCAAAGAGAGGCTTTCCTTCCCACCTAGCCTCTCTCCCATCTGGTGTTCCTCCTGAGGGGAAGACCTAAAGCTCACCAAGGCCTAGCATGAAAAGAAACCAGCATTCCCGCCCAGCACCTAGCCCAGCCCTCAGGCTAGGGCATCCACAGCCAGACAGGTGAAGTCCTTGACAAAATCTCACCATGGATTTGTTCTTCCTCACCAGAACCCCACCACAGTGCACAGACTGATCTGGCGTGCCAAGAGCATGCCGAGCAGAGGGAGAGCGATTTAGAAGGGAAGGTTGGCCAAACCCAGGGGAGGCGGGAGTGAGAGACCAGAGTGTACAGACAGAGTTCATTAGGCAGTAATCGGAGACTTTTGAGCAGGGGATGACATGCACAAAGTAGTCTTTTGGAAAGACCGTTCTAGCCTCTGTGCCCAACAAAAATTGCAAGGAAAAAAAAAAATGCAGGCCAGAACATCTCTGGTCAGAGCTCCCCAGGCAGCGAGGAGAGGGCCTCCACTGGGGAAGAAGGGAGTGACAAGCGCCAGTGGGTTCCAGGGACATTTTGAAGGAAGAGGCAGCAGGCCTCATGGCTGACCAGAAGGCGGGACAGTTGAGGATACCGGTGCTCCAAAGAGGGAAGCACAAGGCTCCAAGACCTGCAGAGAGTCTGGATTGGACATGTGGAGTCTGAGCAGGGTGGGAATTGTCTGTGGGGAAGCCTCCCGGAGAGATGGGGACCTGCAGGGAACCAAAAGGAAACACAAGGCATGTCATCAGTGACAGAACACGGACACTGCCCCCCACGTGTTGCACTCACTCCCCTCACACTACCTGGAGGCCAAGCATACGGTGCCGCACAGACACCTAACATTACAACGTGTATCTTAAAATGCAAATGTGTGCGCCACAGCATTGAGTAATTACCTTCAAACAAATAAACGTGCTTTGCACTGACAGGCAGCATAAAATCTAAGTATAACAAAATATGTAACATGAGACTTTACCCTTTTTATCAAATGTGACACAAATACATACCCTTCTTGTAATTCTATTTTTGTACGTGTCCAAGATGTCCTTGTGGTTCTTTGGTCCTGGTAATCCCGGGTGGCCAGCCCTCTTGTAAGCAGTGGCGACTTTGAAGCCATTGGTACCCTCTGCCTACCATACTGAAGACGGGTGTGAATAAAGCTGAGATGGGTAAAATCGGACAGTTCCCAATGTAGAAGTTATTTTCCTCTGCCGCCTTGTTTCACATGGAGGTTCGATGTCAAATGATGTTGCTTTCTGAAAGAGAAAGGAGAGAGGACATAATTTCAGAATTGCTTTAATCTATCTCCACTTCACTTATCTTGACCTAGCATCTTTTCTCTCTGCCTTCCGACCTTGGTAGCTGAATACCAGTGTGAGAATCCACACACTCGAAGGAGAAACCCCAGGCTCAGTGTGGGACAGAGCAGGGGTTCAGCTTGCCGCCATCACTATGTTCCAGGGCAGAACCCAAGGAATCCAGGAATCCTAAACTCAGACCTGTTTTTCTGCAGTGTTAGAAAGATATATTTGTCACAGTGGAGGGCAGAACATAAATCATTTCTAGTCTGAGTTTTCACTTTGTAGTGTTTACACGTGTGATCTGGTAGCATCGTTTGCTCTCTTGCCCGGGCCCCACAAACATCAGGAATGGCACCGAAGGCGACTGTCACGTGGCTGCAGGCACCTGCTTTCTCCTTGAGACTTTCCAACCGAATCTCCACCCCCCTCTCTTTCTGCTTCTTTGCCCTTGGTTTTTGTTTATTCGTTCTTCTTTAGTTCATTTATTTGACTTAGCTTCGTGTCTCCCAACCTGCCACCGCCCTCATTTTTTATTTTTGTTTATTTTTGTTTAATCCCCATCATTCCTTTAGGCTCCCACCTCCACCAGTGCCACTATTTCCTTAGCCAACCCCGAGGTCTCCATACTAAACTACCAATCTGCACTCTACCAGCCCTCAGCGGCCTCCATGGCGGCGGTGGCCCAGCGGAGCATGCCCCTGCAGACGGGAACAGCCCAGATCTGCGCCCGGCCGGACCCCTTCCAGCAAGCCCTCATCGTGTGTCCTCCCGGCTTCCAAGGTAAGGCTGAGCAGACACTACCTCCCACTGCTTCTCCCCGGACACCCCAGGGACTCTGACACCGCAGGGCTCCGGCACGCCGACTTTCCTGGCGTAAGGCCCTCTTCATTCGCTTTCCATGGCACTGGCATCCCTGAACTGTGGCCAGCGGAGAAACAGTGGGACTGTTGTTCTCACCACCTGCCAGTGATCTGGCCCTGAATGGCTGTCTTTAAATAAGCACATTGCTGTGTTCCCGTTGTTATGCTGGTACCAGCTCTTGGACGCCTCACGTGACATATCCGCCGTATGGCTGATTTATAGAAAAGTGCCAAACCCTGATTGCCAAGGCAGCCCAGGTCTCATGAAGAACATACCTCCCAGGCTTCCCCCTGGTGATCCTTCAGCCAGACACCCCAGCATGCTCCTCCTGGAGCCTCTAGGAAGCCAGAGGTGACCATGTACTTGGTTGCAGTTTACACAGAAAGCCAAGAGTTTATTGTTGCAAGCCCCATGGGGCAAGCACGTGTGGGTGCCCAGTTTCAGAGCCAGTGCCACCCCAATGGACGCCTCCATTCTCTCCCCACACCGGCTGTGACGTAGTGACACACACGTGTCTTCCTGTCAGAAGCACATTCTCCTGTCGTGACTTGTCAGCATAACACTCCACTTTGGGCTTTACAGACTCCTTCGTTTCACTGCTAGTCTTTGAACCCATTCAAGGTTGTCCTTTGGTTTTGGTTTCTAATTTAAGTTAGAAACTAAAGGGGAGAGTTCCCAAGGACCACACAATACCTGCAGGGGCTGGTGTGAGAGGAGGGGAGAGCTGTCTTCCGCCAGCAGCTCGCTTCCATCGCTCACCCCTCTCCCCCTTGCCCGCTGTCTGGAGCAGGGCTGCAGGCCTCTCCCTCGAAGCATGCTGGCTATTCCGTGCGCATGGAGAATGCTGTTCCCATCGTCACTCAAGCCCCAGGAGCTCAGCCTCTTCAGATCCAGCCAGGCCTGCTTGCCCAGGTAATTCTTTCTTTATGATCCCCCGTATTGCCATTATCCCTGTTAATGTTTTCCACAAAAGCGATGTATCTCTGCTAATTCCCTCCCTGGCAGTGAGTTAGGTGCTTGAAGTCATTAGAATATCTCAGTAATATTCTGCATGATGCCCAAGTGAATTATCTTCCTAAGTGCCTCGCTTACAATTCCAAGAAGAAATTTAGACGGAGGGAGAAACTAAGGGAGACTCTTATTGTACCTTTGTAATGCAAATTAATATAGGAGACCTAGGTTTTAATCCTAACTCTACTAATAACTCTCTGTGACTTTAGTAATAACTCTCAGCGAACATTTCTTTGCCCCAAATTTCCTTCTTGTAAAATAGAAATTATTTCTTAGAGCCAAAAAAAGCCTTGGAGGTTATTTATTTTATAGTTGGAAAAACAAGGTTACAGAAGCAGTGAGCTGGAACCTTCCTTATCTGTGCATATAGGTGCTCTGAGGGTAGCATGAGACCATAGAGGTGAAAGTGATTAAAAATTTATAAAGTGTTATGGGAATTTAAGGTAACACAGTGCTACAACAGTAATAGTAATAACACGAACTTTAATAACAGATATGTCATCATTATGCCAGGTTCTTTAGTCATGTTTTATTTAAGGCCCACAGCACAGTAAGATATTTGTTGCCTTTTGACAACAATGGAAGATGAGGCACAATCACTGGCACAAAGTCACACAGCAATTAGGTGGCAGGACCAGGACACAAACCAAAGAAGCATGACACCAGCACCTGTATTTTACCCCCTGGCTGTACTGCTTCCCTGTGATCATTTCCGCTGTTGCTGCTGAGGACAGCTTGACCTCAGTGTTGTTGAAGCACCTTTATTTTTATTTTGTTTTTTCTCCATCAGCATTTATCCCCTCTATGCCCTCTTCCACCCACCCCCATAAGCACCTTTGTCTATACTAATAAAAGGGTAATATGCTAATTAGACTGGACATTTTCCAGACAAAGTCATGGTGGCAGGGGCCGAGGCAGAGGTGGTTAGGGGACAATCAGGCGGGCAGGGGAGAAGTTAGGGGGCAGCCAGGCCAGCAGAGGCAGTTAAGAGTGATGAGGCAGGCAAGCAGGTAAGCGGTTAGGAGTCAGAGCAGTCCCAGATTGTGAGGGGGATGTCTGACTGCCAGATATCCCCACAGGGGTTTCGGATTGGAGAGGGTGCAGGTCAGGCTAAGGGATCCCCGTGCACTGACTTCATGCATCAGGCCTCTAGTTTTTAAATAAGGCAAGTTCCCAAAGGCGTTTCTCATAATGTTTCCAATGACACTTTATTTATGTATCTTTTGTTGAATAGAAGATTGCAGGTTTCATTTTAATGTAGTCAAATTGCATAGTTCTGTTTTGGACTCTCTATTCCATTCCATTGGCCTATATCCTATTTTCTTAACTATTCTAATTATAATATGTCTTGGTATCTGGTAGGGATCTCATTCTTCAAAATTTCTTTGTCTATTCTTGTCCCTTCACTTTCCCAGGTGAATTTAAAGATTGCTTCTACATAAAATTTTAGTCCCCCCACAAAAAAAAATTGTTGGCTTGTATTTATTGAACTTGACTATAATTTATATTTACTTTAGGAACAACTGACAGTTTAATAAGATTAAGGATTAAGTCATCCCATCCCTGAACATGGTATTGTTTCATTATTCATTAAAGTTTTCTTTCGTTGGAATATTCCTAAATATTTTATAGTTTTTGTTGTCATTAATAATTTCATTCACTATATCTTTTAATTAGTTGTCTTTGGTGTATAGGAATATACTGATTTTGGACTATTGCATTTATCTAAACTCTGTTTACATTCTTCTAGCCAATCAAAGACCAGGTCTCCTCTTTCACACCTATCACAGGGTCTAGCATACCGAGTGCTTGGATCATGCAAATAGATCGTGTGATTAACAGACATGCTGATTGCAAACATCCTTCACTCTACAGCAGGCCTGGCCAAGTGGGACCCAGCAGATCTTGCTTCCCCCGGCATGGCAGCAGCTGACCGGAGTGGCCACCCACACATCAGTGCAGCATGCGACTGTGATTCCTGAGACCATGGCAGGCACCCAGCAGCTGGCCGACTGGAGGTAAGCAGGAGAGCTGGTGTGTGTGTGGCCTGACAGGCAGGTCCACCATGGGCCCTGAGAGCTACTGCTCTGGCCTGAGCCTGAATTCCTGGTTCGCATATAATTTTTTAAATTAAGAATATTACGTGGAATATGACTACAGTGTACGGAGATGTAATTTTTAAATAAGTGCGCCAAGAAACAAGAAAATCAGCTTCATTACTTTATGGTCAGTTGTCACTTTCGACCCAAAATTCAGCGACATCATTTAATCACCAGAATAATTCACCAAACTTGGCTCCAGATGATTTTTTGTTTATCAGAAATAAATTCCACTCCCAAAAAAATGAAGATTTGTCACCAGTGAAAGAATGCAGAAGAGAGTCCCCGAGGTTCCTCAGCAGTCCTAGGAAGTGTTCTCAGGGTATTTTGCAATGTGGACACATTGGAGCCATCTCAGATCTCCCAGGGGAAGGCTTGACAGAACAGGATTTATTTCAAATGGTAGACTCTGCTGAGTGTGCCTTTCAGTTAGTAGTTAAGCTCAAAGTCCGCTTTCCACAGACTCCTGTGGCATCCAGCTGGCAGCCACCAGCACCCCAAACCCCTAAGCATCTGTTTCCAGAACATACCCCACCCACTCTCCGACTTCCTCACCCACCCCATCCCAGCACCACCACAGTGCCCCCCTTCACCAGCACAGAGCCACATGGCAACCCCCTCCCATGTTGTCCCCAGCTTCCCGTTCCCCATGAGAGAGAGTCTGGGCTGCTTCCCATTTGGCCCAAACACTGGGGCAGGTCATATCCCTCTCCCTCTGACAGGCTCCGTACCAGCCATGTGGCCTCCCCCACAGTTCCTTTTCTGACCTAAAAGACTACTGTGAATGAACAGCTCTCAGTAAAACGCAGAGAAATATAGAGACATAAGCCCCCAGCCAAGCCTCTACTACAGGTTCCTCTGTTCCTCGTTTAATTTCCTGACAGGTGAAGAGAGTACATAGTCTCTTTCCCACAGCCCCAAGCACTTCTCACTGACCACACCTCCCCTAAGAGCACCCCACTCATTGGAAACACTTTCAAACCAGGTAAAACTGGATTCCATTCTGGCTCTGCATGAACTGGGCAAGTTACTTAACCTCTTTCAGCCTCAGTTTCTTCTTCAGTGGAGAGGGGATAATAATCCTCAGAGGACTGCTGAAGGCTGAAATTAAGATAAAATACAAAGCACTCGACCTGTCTTTAATATGTACCATACCAGTGCCCGGGTGATAAATAAATCTATCCTCCCTTCCCCCATTGGCATCGGCTCATGCTCAGAAAGACCACCTTCCCTCTCCAGCTCATTAGGAACAACCCCCAAATGGGAAACTGTTTGACCAGGTGTGTTTCCTCACCCCTTTTTCTCCTAAAAGACCACATATATGTTGTACTCTTTTTTTTGTTTTCCCTTTATCAGCATTATAGTTCATTTCATTGCAGCAATGCTCACATATTCACTGATCCATGCATATTTTCTTATTCCTCATCCCTCTTACCTGGCTACAGCAAAAAACACTAAAAACCTACACTTTCTTTCTCCATTTCATGTGTAGACCAAAGAACATCCATAATCATGGCTAATAAACAAAAGACAAATACCGGTGCTAGACCTGTATCAATGGAAAAAGAACCATGTCTATAGAAGAAATAGCAAAAACAAAATAAAGAAGCTATAGCATCAGTTTCTAAAATCATGTAAATGTTCAAAAGACATTATCAAATCTCTACAAAAGTGTCTCCCTCTTTTTTTTTTCTATTCATTTCCCCCAAGTTGCAAAGATGTTTTACGATATTTTAAAAATTCAAATGAATTATCTTAAGCTTTTAATTTTTTTTTAATATGTTTTATTGATTTTTTACAGAGTGGAAGAGAGGGATAGAGAGTTAGAAACATCGATGAGAGAGAATCATCGATCAGCTGCCTCTTGCATACCCCCAACTGGGGATGTGCCCTTGACTGGAATCAAATCTGGGACCTTTCAGTCCGCAGGCCGACACTCTATTCACTGAGCCAAATCGGTTTCAGCAGTTTTTAATTTTTTATGTATTAAGTGAGCTTTTATGGACAAGCCTCTGAATTAATCATTTAATATTTCTGTGGGAAAACAACCTTTGAGCTGCATACAACCCAAATCATAAGAGCTTTTGAAACATAACCCATTTTCAAAATGATGGCTGCTAGCATTACTATCAGTATGTCTGACTGTTATTTATTTTTATTTAATACCAAACTCTATATATACAGTATATGTCTAGGCAATCATCGGTTACTCTAATTGTTCATTCAGCAAGCATGTGATTAGTTGATCAGTTGTACATTCCTGAACACTGAACTAGCCACTGAGAGAATTCAATAGTATGATAATACTCGACATCAAACACCTATGGCTGCCAATCTTCAGCATTTGTCATATAAACTACAATGTCCTAACTTATAAAACGGTATTCCTGCTATATCCTGCCTACCTCACAGAGTGGGCTAACCCAGTGGTCAGCAAACTGCGGCTGGCAAGCCACATGTGGCTCTTTGGCCCCTCGAGTTTTTAGCAAAGGCCAGCTTAGGAATACCCTAATTAAGTTAATAACATTGTACCTACCTATACAGTTTAAGTTTTTAAAATTTGGCTCATGAAAGAGATTTCAATCATTGTACTATTGATATTTGGCTCTGTTGACTAATGAGTTTGCTGACCACTGGGCTAACCCATTAAAGGCACTTAGTAAATTCTGTGAAAGTTGGAGGGAATGTTTATCTACACTCCCGGACGTTGGGCTGAGCCTGCGTACTTGGCATTCACTCTTCCTCTTTCTTACCAGCAAGTCGTGCTCCTGGCCCTCCTTCAGAACAGCCCTGACCCTTCACTGCCCAGGAAACTGGGCGAGGCTCATCTCTTCCCTAACCCCACAAGCTAGCAGTGGCTTTAATTTGCCTTTTAACTGGGGAGGATCCTTTATCTTAAAAAAAAAAAAAGAAAGAAAGAAAGCCCTGTGTTCATAAAACCAATAAAAAGCCTTGTTTCCCCATCTCTCTTCCAGGAACACGCACGCTCACGGCAGCCATTACAATCCCATCATGCAGCAGCCGGCGCTCTTGACTGGTCATGTGACCCTCCCAGCAGCCCAGCCCTTAAACGTGGGCGTGGCCCACGTGATGCGACAGCAGCCAACCAGCACCACCTCCTCCCGGAAGAGCAAGCAGCATCAGTCCTCTGCCAGGTGGGTGGTGACAGCCCTCTCAGTGCCGGGGCCATGGCCTGTGCTCTGCTCCGGCCCGGCACCGGGAGCGGCTGGGGACACAGGAGCCATGTGGCCGGCTGGGCTGGGAGGGAGGCCTGTCTCCTGTCCGGTCTGAGCAGGGGTCGTCCCTCCCCACACACCACCCGGGGCCGGGCTCACGGTTCAGTGTCAGGGCGCTGAGCGATTCTGCCCCCTTTCGCTTCTCTGGAAAACACTTAGGCCCACCTCTGAAGTTGCCCTTTGGAAATCATCACTTCTCTTTATAAAATGTGCTGCTTTCCCCCCCTCCTCCCCCCGGAAACCTAAAGCAATAACTTGATTAATCCTACCCATTAGCCAGAATAGTGATCTTGCCCATTCCCTTTAAATCCAGTCTCATCTAGGTGGACTCTTTAAAGTCTATATACCTAGGGTCCCCTCCCCCCCAAAAAAAAAAAAAAAAAGTGTAAACAGACTGACTAATTATCAATATAAAGGTAGTGTTTATTAAATACATTTCCGCTATCAGCTGTAGAAGTGTATATGCATTTTGAAGGGACACCCTGTATATGGCCTTTGGAAAAGGCAGAGCTATGGAGCCAGAGATTGCCGGGGCCTTGGGTAGGAGAGGAGGGGGTTGACAGGGAAGGATCATGGAGGAACCTTTAAGGGGGGTGAAAAGCTCTGTGTCTGGATTGTGGTGGGGTTACCTGACCACACATTTGTCAAAACTCATCCAACACTTCAGAAGGGCAACCTTTACTGTATGTATGTCTCAGTAAACCTGATCTTTAACAAAATAAGAATTTTCCAAACAAAATCGAAAACAAGATTGAGCAGTTGCAGAATTACCCTGCATTTCTCCCTGGTAGCACAGAGGCGGAGGTACCCAATTGCTTATTTGGGATTGGTTAATCAAGAGAAGTCCTGTATATAAAATGTCTAGAAAGTTTGGTTTTCTACTTCCTCACATAGCCAGGCGCCAGAAATTAGGCCTGCCTTTTATGTTCTCTTTCAGAAATTAATCCAAGAGCTCACTCCCTCAAGTTGTCATCTTTTAAGATTTCTTATTTGGGTGCTGCTGACAACTCAGGAAATTCATCTCAGATCAGTGGCAGCCATCCAAAATACTTTGGTTTGGCAGCCCTGTGACAGCACCCACGTCATTATTAGATCAGGCAGCAGAAACGGCCACCACCTCAATCCTCACTCACTGCATGCCAGCCAGTGGGCCATCACACAGAAGCCTGGTCTGGCCTAGAGCTGTCGTCCTTAGCGACATTGACATAAGAACCCTTTGCTTCCCAGACTTCACAAGTCCTTCCCTGTTGCCTGCTCCCCACGCAGCTGGTGTTATGAGACTCATTGCTAGTGCATTTCAAGATCAATGTAATTATAGCGAAAGTTGTATATTTGCCTATTATTTAAGACCGATGCTTTGGCAAAACAGCCTGAAAGACCAGCATGCTCTCCCTTGTTGGGTGGTGCAGCGAGGCATACTTTCCTTTAATAAGGCCCACTGGAAGTATTTTAACTACTGAAGTAGTGAAAACATAATCTCAAAATTGTAACATATTACCTATAACCAGTAGTATGGTAAGTACAAACAAGAGAACCATCTTATCAGTAAAACATATTATTACCAATCCCCAAAAAGGAGCAAGCATCATATCTGATACCAACAAATAGAAAATTAAATAGATCCACCTTTACAGAATTCTCATCTTTTGGCTACCCCAATAGCTAGAAGGTGCTAGAATCTCTAAGGACATATCAGATTCTTCAGTTTCATTATAGATTGTATTTGGTCTCAAGGATTGATGGAGAAGAGGGGGAAAGTAAGGGAATTTTTTTCCCTAAAGTTACCAGAAATTACATTGGCTAATTTTTAGTTGTTGTTAATCTTCACTTGAGGGTATTTTCCATTGTTTTTTTTTGTTTGGTTGGTTGGTTGGTTGGTTTGGTTTTTGTTTTTTTGTGTTGTTTCTTTTTTTTTCTTTTTTTTTTATTGATTTTTCACAGAGAGGAAGAGAGAGGAGATAGAGAGTTAGAAACATCGATGAGAGAGAATCATCAATCAGCTGCCTCTTGCACACCCCCTACTGAGGATGTGCCGGCAACCAAGGTACATGCCCTTGACTGGAATCGAACCCGGGACCTTTCAGTCCGCAGGCCGACGCTCCATCCACTGAGCCAAACCGGTTTCGGCTGTTGTTTTTTGTTTTTTTTTTAGAGATAGTGGACAGGAGAGACACAGAGAGAAACATCAATGTGAGAGAGACATATTAATTGGTTGCCTCCCTCACATGCCCTGACCAGGGCTGGGGATTGAGCCTGCAACTGAGATATTTGCCCTCCACTGGAATCAAACTCGGGACTCTTCAGTCAGGCCACTGCTCTGTCCACTGAGCCAAACCAGGTAGAACTACATTGGCTCGTTTGTTAAGGAATTTCAGGTAAATCAAAATCAATATTAAAAGGTCCCTTTTTAAACACAACTTTTCCTCTTGCACTTTTCCGAATTTTCCATTACAGTTGAAACAGACTTCCTATGAAGTTAAGTGTCAAAATCCAGAAGAATCTTTTTTGGAAATAAGAATTATAGGCCCTGGCCAGGTAACTCAGTTGGTTAGAACGTCATCCCAATACATCTAGGTTATAGGTTTGATACCTGGTCAGGGCACATACAAGAATCAACCAATAAACGCATAAAGATGTAGAACAATGATCTCTCTCTCCCTCTATCTCTATAAAAAAAAAATCCATTTAAAAAAATATGCACACATAGATGCTTCCATGATCATGTCCCTTTCCCAGAGAAGGAAGGAAGAAGATCTAACCACCAACGTTAGCGCCATTAGATCCAGAAACTCCTAAGAAATGAGTGCTTTAGTTTATTAAATGGTAAACCAGCTCTTAGTGAGGAAACCAGAGCTTTATGTGTCAAATACTATTTCTTCCCCCTCTCTCCCAGATAAGACCTAAGGACGTTTGGGAGGATGACAGGGTGGAGCTCAGGTAGTCAGGCCTGAAGACAGGGCTGTGTTGAGGCAGACACCCCTTAGGTCCTGGGCATTACATGTGACTCCATAAGACCAGCCCAGTCCATGGGCACAATCCCCCGTGTCCTCAGCCCTGGCTGTTCCCTTTGTCCTGCTGGGAGCAGGCACATGGAGCCAAACCAGAGCCCCCAGGAGGCCAGGCTGCTGTCCCCTCTGTGTAGTGGCTGCCGCTTCTGCAGTGACAGGTGAAGTCCGAGTGCCCTGGCCTCTGACTTTCCTGTGGAGATCTGGCAACGCTGGGACTTGTGGGCAGTTTGCTCCTAGGAAGACGCTGACCTTCCTCCTTTGTCGTTACAGAAACGTCTCCACCTGTGAGGTGTCCTCCTCTCAGGCCCTCAGCTCCCCTCAGCGGTCCAAGCGCGTCAAGGAGAACACGCCGCCCCGCTGCGCCCTGGTGCACGGCAGCCCGGCCTGCAGCTCCTCCGTCACATGCGGCTGGGGCGACGGCGCCTCCAGCACCACCAGGGAGAGGCAGCGGCAGACCATTGTCATTCCAGACACCCCCAGCCCCACGGTCAGCGTCATCACCATCAGCAGCGACACGGACGAGGAGGAGGAGCAGAAGCACGCTCCCACCAGGTGAGACGCGTCACCTTCGCACTCCCAGAAGGGACCAGGACAGCTCATCTGGGCCACTGTCCATCATCAGACACGAAGGTCCCTCTCTCCCGGCCCCCACATTGTGGTTTCGCCCCATCCTGGAGTCCTGACGTGATTTCAGGGGACTAACAGACTTTCCAAAATGTTTAAAACCAAAATAATTTGGAATCCCTTGGATATTAAAAAATAGTTTTGGGCCCTATTCATTCGGGAGACTTGAGACTATAAACACCAGACACAGGATGCTAGTGTATTTCAACCCCCATCAGCTTACAAAGCTGCCTCAGGCTATTGAATTTATTCCCCGTTGGTCGAAATATTTCTCCAATATTGCCTTGGCTCTCTCAGAATTCGAAATAATTGTCCAATTAATCAGAAATTTCTGTGTCTGATTAACCCAGTCTTTCAAACTGCCAGTTGGCTCTTACCCAGAGAGCACTGCTGTTTATTCCAAGTAGTGAGAACTCATTTTACTCTCCACGCGCTCCCAGGAAGAGGGGAGAAGTGTTTAGTACAGTGCTTGCATGACTATCAGCTCTGGCTCCAGAGCCACTTTTCCTGCCCCTCTGGCACAGTGGGCGCCTGGCTCTCTGCACCCCACTGGCCTCAGGCCCTTAGACATCCCAAGCTTCATGACCCCGAGCTTCAACCTGCTGGCTCTTCACGAGGCCTGAGGGCCAGGGAAGGGAGGCCTGCTCCCAAGCCCAGCACTGCCAGTCAGCACATATCCCACACCCAGATACGAAGCTTAACATCCACATATAAACCTGAATTATTAATTTCTGATTGGGTATAATGCCAATAATTAGTCACCACGAATTCTTTTGATCAGATAATACTTGAGACCAGTGTGAAATGTACAGATAGGGTGGTTGAAGCATTCCCACTGTAGCTATGCTCAGTGCGTTGCTATGTCATGGTAGGGCTGTTGTGGTCTCAGTGTCCTCCTTTCGGTTTACTGGCTCAGCCTGCTGTTCAGTGTGTCTCAAGGAATGTAATGGAGCACTTCCGGCCCTCGCATCACTCCAGGGGCCGGAGGGGCCTTGGTGTCAGGGACGCCAGGCACGTGCTTCACTCCCCGCCTGCCTGTTCCAGGACTGGCCTCGGTTTCCTTTCTGATATAGCCCCGAGTTGAGTCAGTACTCAGTACTCCCCAGCGCCTTATGCCCCTCAGCCCAGGAACATGATGGGCTTAAGTGGTTCCTTTACAAAGAAAAAGGCTCTTCCCGGCCGCAGCCTGGCCCCCGGCCTGGAGCAGCCTGTCCACACACTCATAGCCTTCGGCACAAGACAGGCCCAGCAGCCTCGGCCAGCCCTTTGCCACAACTGGAAAAAAGGAAAAGCAACTTAAAAATCTGACAATTGATGAGACTAGAATGTCATTTTTGAAAAATGAGATTTGAGTTGACACAGACTCTGGACACATAAAAATGTCAAATTCATAGAATCAAGGAGTGGACTCTTGGTGGCCAGGGGCTATTGGTAGAGAAATGGGGAGTTGGTAATCAATGGACATAAATTTTAATTGAGCAAGATGAATCCATTTGGAGATCTGCACAGCACTGCACTGTAGTCAACAATACTTAAATTTTATTAGGAGGGGTAGGTCTCCTGTTAAATATTCTTATCACAATAAAATTTTTAAAATAAATAAAGTTAAGACCATGGTTAGTCGCCAGAAAACACAGAGACGGCTAGCTCTTGGTTCACACCCTGACCCAAATTAGCCGTGTGACCTTGTACAAGCAAGTGACCTAAGCTCTCCACATCTGAAGTTCATTGTTCTTAAAACCAGAATTGAAAGATTCTTTCTCGCTGTGAGCGTTAGAGGAGACAGCACATGGAAAGCACTTTGAACAGCAGTTGTGCACCCAGTAAATGTGCCCTAGACTTTGTAGTCAGTGTCGTCGTGATAGAAGAGGAGTGTTGTTCACATGTAGCCTTGACTGTGGAGTCAGAGGAGTGAAGTAAGTCATGGAAGGGTTATTGGTGGAGATGAATTTTGACCCTGGTCTTGAAGGATGGAATTGACTGAGACTGGCAAATAGAAATCAGAAACGCATTCCAGACAGCACCCTGCAGGGAGGGTCCCCAGGTTTGTATCTGATCCTGTGACAGTGTTTTCTCCACTGGGGCTGATTTCTTTACTGCTTATCTCCTTATTTCTTTTCATCATTTTAAAATGATGTGAAAATCATCTATTGCCATGACAACACAATGCAGTTGTGAACTCTGGTGGCGTTATTCAGAAATGATGTTCTATTAAGGCCATTAAGCAAATATTTCTCATTCTACTCTGTCTCCCTTCCTCCCTCTCTCCCTCTCTCTTCCATTAACCAATTCATAATGGGATTGATTAGCAATCAGTAATAATTAGACACTATACTGGAATGAATCCCAGTAGAATCAGTGCTTACGTGCCTAAAGAATCCATAGTAATAGTGCATGCTCGTTTTTAAGGTGACTCATTTAATAGCTTCCCATTTGTTCTCTAATCTGCATCGTATAATCAGATAGAGCACAGATATTCCTAACAATAGGAGACATTAAAAACAGCTATCAGGACTGGCTGGTGTTGCTAAGTGATTAAAGCAGTGGCCGTGCACCAAAGGGTTATAGGTTTGATTCCCAGTCAAGGGCACATACCTGGGTTGTGGGTTCACTCCTCAACCCCACCCTCCAGTTGGGTCGAATGCTGTAGGCAACTAGTCGAAGTGTCTGTCTCACATCAATGTTTCTTTCTTTCTCTCTCTGGAAGATATGGTCAGCAGGAATTGGCCAGGACTGGGTCTACATGTGAGGGATTTATTTCCTCTCCAAATCAGGAGTAAACTAAGTCCTATGTTAAGTGTCTTTAATAATAAACTTTTAAGTCAGCAGAAGGATCCCCACAGTGGATCCTTTGATGTCGCTCTCCCTAACGGATTTCACAGGTTGGAGCTGGAGGCATGTCTAAAGTCACACCCACCTCCAGGCCACTGTCCTAGGTCACACCAGTAAGTGGGCAGCAGAGCTGGAACTAGACACCGCTCTCAGGTCACATCTGGGAGCCAGCTCTGTCCTTCATGCGGGGCCACCACCCAGACACACTTTCAGCAGAGCCCGTCTGCGCTGTGTTCGCTTTAATCACGCAGAACTGGCTGTGACGGAGCTGAGAGCAAAGGCAGGGCAGCCGCCTCCCAGTATCCCCCAGGAACTGGAGCACCAGGCATCAGTGCGGGCTGGGGTGGGGTTCCCTCTAATAGCATCTTTCTACACAACAGACACCCCACAGACGGGGGGTTTCCCTTTGCACAGCCCCAGCCACCACAGAAAACACCGCAGGTCTCCCTGGTCTTGGTCTTTTTGAGGCAGCTCACCCTCCTCCCAGAGCTCCCTCCTCCCGATGCCACCGCTTCCCACAATGTCCCTGCCCGCGAATCCCGCTGCCGCCTTCAGAGGCTCGGGGACCTTTCCTGCTGCCCCGCTTTCTGGTTCTTGGGCCAAATCTCAGTGCCACGCCCACCTCTTTCTTGTTTCTGAAAAAGCGCATAGACTTTTTAGAAATTGAGATATAATTCACATGCCATACTAATCACTCCCTTAAAATATATAATTCAATAGTTTTGGAATTCTACATTAATTTTTTTTACTTGTGATAAAAAATTTTTGCCTTTTATGTTTAAGCATACACTTCAGTGACATTAAATGCATTGTGTGTGCAGCCACCACCACTGTCTATTTCTAGAACGTTTCCATCACCCTGGGCAGACTCTGTACCCATTAAGTGGTAATTCCCTGTTCCTCCCTCCCCCACCCTCCGGTCACCTCTAACCTCCTCTGTCTATGAATGTGCTTATTCTGTGGACTCATGTAAGTGGAATAATACAGCATCTGTCCTATATCTGGCTCATTCCACTTAGCACAGTATCTCAAGGTTAATCCAGACTGTAGCATGTATCAGAACTTTGCTCACTTTTATGGCTGAACAGTGTTCCATTACATACCACATTTTGTTTACTCATCTGTTGATGGACCAGGCTATTTTCATCTTCAGATTATATATTTCTTCTCAGCCATTGGGAATAATGCTACTATGGACATTGGCATTCAGCTATCTGTTTGAGTTCCTTTGTGGACATGCCTGCGAGTGGAATTGCTGGTCATGTGGTCACACTCTAGTTTTTTTGAGGAACAAGCATATAGATTTTTTGCATTTAAACTGTTATAAGTGGGAGGGAGATGTCTTTATTAATTAAAATGTATCTATTTTATCATAATGTGAGGAGCTATAAATGCATGTTCATTCCCCACCTTCTTTCGAGTTCTCGATGGTTATCATCAGTACAACCCATTTGACAGTTCAGCATGGGAGGCTGTATGACATCTACTGGACTCTTTACTGGTTATTTTAAAACTTTTCCATTTATCCTGCCATGCTTTTGGACAGTCCCACACTGGGATTTAATCTCTTGGGCACACGTGTACTGTATGTTTTGTGTACAGGAATTCTCTGTAGCACCTAGCATAGACCTTCAACATACCTAACTGGTGAGTTTTAATTTCCTTCGTACCCAGTGAGTCTGCACCTTGGTCGAATTCACTTTGCCTAGAAAGGTTTTTTTGCAAACCCGTATTCACATGTTAAATGAGGTAACACGACTAATAATGATAGCAGCTAACTTTTATAGAATACTTGCTTTTTGTGCTATCTACTATTCGAAGCATTTTCCTTGTATTTCCTCAATTCTCCAAATAAGCCTACAATATAGCTACTGTTACTAGTTAGCCACATTTTACTGATGAGGAGATTGAATCACTCAGAGGTTGAAAAGCTTTCTGGACCACCACACACACACACACACACACACACACACACAGCCAGTGCTGGTGTTAGACGTCTAGCTGCAGGGGCCTGTTCTCACCCCGGACACAGCTGGGGAGGGACCATGCTTCCCTGAACCAGGACAGTGTGCAGCCCCCAGAGGAACTGCCGGGCCCAGAGGTCATAGTGTCAGGACTGTGCGGCCCCTCCCTTCTGCCCGGCTGCCTGGGGCTCCTGAGTTGGCCCCTTCTCTGCTGCCCTTAGGAGGCAGAGAGCGACCTTGGAAAGGGGCTGGCCCGTGGCTGGCCCTGGTGCCGTTGGCCAGCACACCTCCCTGATTGTTTGTCCCCATTAGGCATCTATAAATACCAGCTTCTCTTACCAAATTAGTTGGAAACTGACCATCTTACTTGGGGCAACGGATATTTCTTAAAAATAGATGATCAATAAAAATAGATGAAAACTCATTTTTGAAATCTTCACAGTAAACAACAAATTTTATATGCATCATCCCACCAGCTTCTCACTGAGCTTGGAGCAGAAAGAATTTGTTCCCAAAGTAACCACCAAACAAAAATATCTCGGGGAAAAAGCTGGTGGCCGAGAGCCATCCAGAGCCAGTTCCTCCTGTCGGCGTGTTGAGTTTCAGGACGAAGAGCAGCTCCCCACCAGGCCTGCTCCCAGGGGAGCCCCTCTGACCTCACCCGGACACAGTGCTGCCCCTCCCCGATCCGAGGGCCCGGCTCCCCGGAAGGGACTCTCCGAGGCCTGGGTGGGCACCAGCCTCCCACCAGCACCCTCCCGGCAGAGAGGCTGCCGATGGCGGGCAGTCAGCTCCGGGGGCTCTTTCTCAGCACGTCTGAGCCCCCGGAACCTCCCTCTCTGCGTCCTGGCCGCTCCTGGCGGTTCCTTCCCTCCTGCCTGAATTCAGGGGGTTTCCAGCCCCGAGCTTCGCTCTGCTCTTCCTTCCCGGCGTGGTGTTCTCCCACACCGGCCTCGGGTGGCCGGGGGTTCTGGGCTTCGTTTGCTCAGACATCCCTTTCTGGTGGCTCAGGGGTGTTGCCGCACCAGGGAGGGCCCAGGCCCACTCGAAGCGTCTCACTCGTCGCTTCCAGAAGCGCCTGTGGGCCGGGCTGCAGCCCTCTCTCACGGCTCCATGGGACAGGCGGCACTGTGCGTCCCGTCCCTGCCCTCTCCGCTCTGCTCCGTCCCCTCCCGGCACCAAGAGGGGCTCTCCCCACGGCCGCCGGCCTGACCTGCGGGCGCGTCTCACCTCCGGTTCTGATCGCCCTGTCCCCTTCCAGCACCGTCTCCAAGCAGAGGAAGAACGTCATCAGCTGCGTCACGGTCCACGACTCTCCGTACTCCGACTCCTCCAGCAACACCAGCCCCTACTCCGTGCAGCACCGCCCCGGGCACACCACCACCGCCTTCGACACCAAGGGGGCCCTGGAGAGCCACTGCGCCGGCAACCCCCGCACCATCATCGTGCCCCCCCTGAAGACCCAGGCCAGCGACGTGCTGGTGGAGTGTGACGGCCTGGTGCCAGGTAACTCGGGGCCCGGGCAGGGCCCCCCCCGGAGGGATGGCCTTGCTCTCTGCTGCCGGCAGTTTGTTGTGTGAGAGCGGACAGGCGCCGGGTTTCTGCACATTGTGCTCAACTCACCGAGGGAGGATTCTGCTAAGCATCACGTTGTAGTTAAGCGGCGTTTTCATTTTTTAGTTCTGTAATTAGCACCTCGCTGCCTTTACAGTGGCTCTCCCTTTGGTTCGGTTGGTAAATAACAAACAAGAGCCGCCCAGGTCCTTGTCTGCCGGTCAGGATGGACCCCGGTCTGGGGAGTCCCTGACCACACTTTGGCATCACCCCCACCAGAAGCCCTGGGATGGGGCTGCCTCTGTGGGCAGAACCTCCCCGCCTTGCTCAGCGAGCGGGAAACACCTTCCCACCTCTCAAAGGGCAAGGCCGGGTGTGTGTCCGTCACACAAACCTTAATTAAAAGTATTCCCTCCGGCCCCAGCTGGTTCGGCTCAGTGGATGGAACATTGGCCCTCAGACTGATTCGATTCCGGTCAAGGGCACATACCTCGGTTGTAGGCTCAATCCCTGGCCCTGGTCAAGCTGCATTCGGGAGGCAACCAATCAATGTCTCTCTCTCTCTCTCTCACATCTGTGTTTCTCTCTCTGTCTCTCCCTCTACCTTCCATTCTCTCTAATAATCAATGGAAAGTCCAACCGGTGTGGCTCAGTGGTTGAGCATCAACCTATGAACCAGGAAGTCCCGGTTTGATTCCCCGTCAGGGCACATGCCTGGGTTACAGGCTTGATCCCCAGTGGGGGCGTGCAAGAGCAGCCAATCAATACTTCTCTCTCATTAATGATGTTTCTATCTCTCTCCTTCCTTCCTCTCTGAAATCTATAAAAATATATTTTTTTAGAAACAATGGAAAAATATCCTCAGTGAAGTATTAACAACAACGAAAGTATTCCCTCCATCCTGAGAAGAAAAGCTGAGATCTTAATCTCCTAGATACGTTTAGTGCCTGACCCCAGACTCAGTGTCTCCCTGGCTCAGACTTGCCAGGAGGAGGATTTGGGGAGGGGGGTGGGGGGGGACACACTCGCTTTTCTGCCCCAAACTATCACCAGCCCATCCAAGCCAGTCAGCCCTCTCCCGGTGGCACCGTTTAAAAGGAAAAGGACAGGAAGTGCCAGAAGCTTTTGTTTAGATGTGAGGAGTTATTGTTCATCAGTTAATACTCATTCATCCCGTCTGTGTCACCTGGGGACCTTCCTGGGCAGTTGCTGGCTGCCAGGCCCCTGGGGCCTGGGAGAGCCAGATGCTGCCGGAGGGTGAAGAGTAGAAGGTAGGATGTGGTGTTTGGGGACTTGTCCAGCCCAGAGCATAGGTCATCCTACTGTACATGGGGGGACAGGAGGACTTCTCTCTCCCCAAACCCTCTTCCTGTCCAAGTCGCCAAAGGAGGATTCCACTAAACATCACGTGTAAGCAGCGTTTTCATTTTTTAATTCTGTAATTAGTACCCAGGCAGATATTTCAGTGAGGACCCTGGCCGGAAGCAGCACTGTCCGGCTGTGACCAAAGGAACCTGCAGCAAACAGCTCACCCAGGAGGCAGGGTCCCTCGTCCTCTTCCGCTCAGACACCCATCAGATAATGGTTTACAACAGTGTCCATCACACATTACCGGTTTAAGTATTTGCCACGGGTGTTATTTCTGCCGTGTTGTGTGTTGATCGTTACTTAAGTACTTAAAATATCTTTGTCAACACCTCGAGGCTGCAGCTTGGACTCATTTAATCCATGGAGATGCTGCCGCTGCCACCCCAGGCGGCCAAGGCTGCCCTCACCTCCGGGAAACTTCCCTGGGCCGCCACCTCGTGGCTGAACTTCATCTTGGGAGGAGACGGATAGAGTAAGGAGTTGGCACAGAGTTTGCAGCCTGAATAAAATAAGCCCGGACAGCTTTCATGTTTGTTTGGCTTTGCTCTCAGGAACGGTCCCTCAAGCACTCTCCATTCCGGAATTATCCCCTTTGGGCGCCCCTGAGGTTTCTCACACGAGAGCCAGTGCACATGCTAACATCCTGGAGAGTGAGGGAGTCTTTCTCCAGTAAAACGTGAGAAGTGTGCCCAGCCGGTGTGGCTCAGTGGTTGGGCATTGACCTATGAACCAGGAAGTCATGGTTCGATTCCGGTCAGGTTGTGGGCTCGGTCCCCAGTAGGGGGCGTGCAGGTCCAAGGTGGGGCCAGAGCCAGGACTGCCGGGACCTGGGCCAGTCTCACGTGGGCCCGGGGAAGCGGGACTGGTTTGGGATTGGCCAGGCTCGGAAAGGGGTCCCTTCCTATAAGACCCCTGTGGGCCCTGGAGGGGTAGCCGAGGGCTCGGGACTGACCTGCGACCGGTTTCTCCTCCCGACACAGTCAACACCAGTCACCACTCGTCCTCCTACAAGTCCAAGTCCTCCAGCAACGTGACCTCCACCAGCGGCCACTCGTCAGGGAGCTCGTCGGGAGCCGTCGCCTTCCGGCAGCAGCGGCCGGGGCCCCACTTCCAGCAGCAGCAGCCGCTCAACCTCAGCCAGGTAAGCCCAGCACGTCGCACCCCCTCCCGTGGGGTCACCCGGGGGAGCCTGGTGCCACTGGCTCAGGGCGAGCCGGCCGGCCGGAAGCAGGGCGACTGGTGTAAAATCGTGTAGCTCCGCATGGCGTGTGCCAGCGCCGAGGTTAGGGGGGCCCACATCTCGCCAGAGCGCTGTGGTGCCATGGAGGAGGCCATGCCCGGGCCCCGACCACGGCGGTGAGGGTGGGGGAACGTAAGAAAGCAGAGCCTCAGAGGGCAGAGCAGCCTGCGCTAAAGGCTCAGCCCGGTGCAGAGTGGGCTCGGGCCGATTCCTGAGGAGCCGCGGGTGAGACCAGAGTCCGTGTCGGAAGCCCGTGTGCAGAGCTGCGCTGGGCCGTGGCCTGAGGTGCGTCTGTCACCAGGACTGAGGATGCCGGTGAGAGGGCTGGCACATGTGTCTGACACGACGGCAGACAGAGGTTCTGAGGGCCTGGGTGTTAGAGAGCGAGACCTCACGGTGAGAAACAGCGGTCTCTCCAAGAGGCTTCCCAGCCTAGGGCGTCCTGGAAGAGAGGCCTGTGAGCTATAGCTGCAGCGTCTGTGTCTGTGCCATCCCACTGAGCGACGCTGGGCTGGCCTCCTTCCTCAGTCCCGGCTACTGTACTTCCCAGCATCCTCGGGAGGTGTCCTCTGTCACTCCCACTGCTCTTCCCCGCCCCTTCTCTTCTCCTCCTTTCTCTCCCCCTCCTCCCCCTTCTCTTCTCTTTTCCCTCTCCCCTCTCTCTCTCCTTCTCCCCTCCTCTCCATCCTCACTTCCCCCTCTTCTTCTCTCCCTCTCCTTCCTCCTGCCCTCACTTCTCCCTCCTCCTCTCTCCCTCCTCTTGCCCTCTCTTCCCCCTCCTCTTGTCCCTCCTCCCCACTTCTTTCTCTCCTCCCCTCCTTACATCCTTTCTTCCTCCCTCCTTTCCTCTTCCTCTCCCTCCTCCCTGTCCTCAATTCCCCCTCCTCCTCTTCCTCACTTCCCCCTCCTCCTCTCCCTCCTCCTGCCCTCACTTCCCCTGCTTCCTCTTCCTCTCTTCTCTCCCTCTCCTTTCTCCTGCCCTCACTTCCCCCTCCTCCTCTTCCTTACTCCCCCCTCCTCCTCCTCCTCTTTCCCTCTCCCTCCTCCTGCCCTCACTCCCCCTCCTCCTCCTCTCCCGTGTGTCCAGCCCCCAGTGCAGCCCTCTCCTGGTGCTTCTCCTTGTCCAGGCTCAGCAGCACATCACTGCAGACCGCACCGGGAGCCACCGACGGCAGCAGGCCTACATCACCCCCACGATGGCCCAGGCTCCGTACTCCTTCCCTCACAACAGCCCCAGCCACGGCACTGTGCACCCCCACCTGGCCGCCGCCGCCGCCGCCCACCTCCCCACCCAGCCCCACCTCTACACCTACACGGCGCCCGCCGCCCTGGGCTCCACCGGCACCGTGGCCCACCTGGTGGCCTCCCAGGGCTCGGCGCGCCACACCGTGCAGCACACTGCCTACCCGGCCAGCATCGTCCACCAGGTCCCCGTGAGCATGGGCCCCCGGGTGCTGCCCTCGCCCACCATCCACCCGAGCCAGTATCCGGCCCAGTTTGCCCACCAGACCTACATCAGCGCCTCTCCGGCCTCCACCGTCTACACTGGATACCCACTGAGCCCCGCCAAGGTCAACCAGTACCCGTACATATAGACACTGGAGGGGCACGCGGGCGGGCGGCGGGCGTCTGCACTGAGGACGCCGCACGGCAGCAGAGCGAGGCCCGGTGGGCGGGCGGGCACTGGTGACACTTGAACTAGGAAATGTGAGGACTGAGCCGAGAAGAGAGCATTTTTAAAAAGAAGGGATTCGGGAGGGGATCTATGCTTTTTATTTTAAAAAGAAAAAGGAAAAAAAAGAAAGCGTCGGTAACAAAAACACAGCTCACGTACCCATTCTGCACCAAACTGGAAAGGAGAAGAGAGAGCGACGGAAGATTCCAGAAGAGGGGCCAGTTTCTGAAGAACTTTATCTATGAACTTTTCAAAGGTCATCTTCATGTGGCAGCAAGTGACATTTAAGAATTTGCTGTCAGGGGACACCCGATATGGAAATCCAATAGATTTTTCATGGTTGAACATGAGCATTAGGGATTTTTCCAGAACCCTAAAGGATCAACAGCCCTGGAGGTCAGGCCTCGGCCTGCGAGGCTGATGTTGGGCTGTTCTGGCTCCTTGGGAGGGGTTGGGGGGGGAGTGGTTCGCAGGAAGCCCTCCCCGAGGGCACGGCTCCTCTGAGCGCTCTGGATAAATCCCTAAGAAAGTGACTCCTCAAATGTCATTAATACTGTGTGTCGCAAACTTTAGTTTTTTTCTTCTTTCTGAAGATTTCTTTCCTCCTCGAATCGATCCCTAGCCGGTAGCAGGGCTGGCGGGCGTTGCCGACACCCGGTGGAATGTAGCACTCTGCACCCTCTGCTTTGTGGTGACTCCGGTGATCCCAGTAGACTGTCCTCAGTGTGACGCGCACAGTGACGGACGCAGGCGCGGCCAGTGCGGGGCCCGGGGCGGCCGCGGCTCTGTCCTGGCTTGACACCATTCCCTCCTAGTGCCTTACGGAACCAGAGCGGGAGGGTCTCCTTCCTCGGTACTCCAAGACGCTGACGGGCAGTCAGAGCATCTCGGCACTTTTGTGCTGTCGAAACATTTTACTCTGGTCTTTCCTCTCTTTGTTTTTAAATGTTAATTTAATCTAATGTCAGTGCCCATTGTCTGTCGAGGGCTGTCTGCTGGCGGAGGGGTGGCAGGGGGCTGGCAGGGCCCGGAGAGCCCCCGGATGTTGAGAGGTGGGGTGGGTGGGGGGGTTGGGCCCGGTGGGCGTGATGGTTTTAGATGACTGTTTCTGGACAGAGCAGTTCTACCTGCACGGCTGCTCGCCCTTTGTGGGGCCAGAGGTCCCTCTGCGCTGGCCTTGCAAGTGGCTGCCTCCTTCCTGGTGAGGAGAGGATAGGAGAGGAGGCCGCCAGCCGCCTGCCACCTCCTGGCCGGCACACTCCGTCCGCCCCTGCGGGCTGGAGGGCTGGGCTGGGGATCAGGCCGCCGCGCCCCCTCCTCCCCCCAGCCTCGCTGTCGCTCACCCTCTCCTCTGGCTCCCCGGCTGCCGCCCTCTCTGCAGACTACACCAGCCTGTGCTCCCTGCGGCTCTTCCTCCTCATCTGGGCCTGCCCACGGCGCCACTTGGTTTTGGTTTCTGAGGGTCTGGAGGGCAGAAGGCAGGGGGACATCCATGGGGGTGACCAGGAGGCCCTCTGCCACCCCTTGGAGGCCCCTCCCGCCGCCAGTAAGGTTTCCAAAGAAATTGCCCTTTGCCCTCTTTGCACCTTTGACACATTCTGGACGTTTCTCAGGCTTGAACTGCTGGAGGCAGGTGGGGGTCTTAGGAGACTATGTGGTCAGAGGGGGGCCCTAAAGGCGGGCTCTCCACACCGAGTCCCCACGCGGTGGCATTCCCAAGGTGCAGAGAGGCCGCTCCTGTCCTCGCCCCCCTCCCGCCTCCCTCCAGGCTCCCTAACGATCTGCCTGCCTGCCTGCCTGCCTGCCTGCCTGCCGGGAAAGGTGTTTTATAGTCACATCCGACCTAATTCAGTGAGGAAGCCAAACCTTTACCTTAGCTCTTAGCTGTGAAATGTGAACTGACTCTGGAAATTTCCCCTCCCGACCACAAGTCCTGCTTCCCTTACAGAGGTCCCCTCAGCCCAGGCCTCAGGCCGGGAGGAAGGGACGCCAGACAGCCCCAGGGGCCCAGCGGGCCGGACGCTCTGTCCGTGGTCTGTCCGATGTGGGGAGGGCGTCCTGAGACGACAGGAGACGGCCAGTCTGGGGGGGGGGGGGGGGGGTTGGAGGGTGACGTTGGAGGCCGTGCTGGCCTGAACGGATGGCAGCAGCTCCCCACCAGCTCCTGAGCCCAGTCACCTCGGGGCTGCACGTGAGCCTCCGTCGGCCTCACTGGGGCATCCCCCGCCCTCGCGCAGCCTGACCCCCACAGAAAAGACAACCAGCCTTCCGTCTCGAAGCAGATGACTCTGTCTACCACGTCGACTTTCACCTGACACTTCTCTCCTTTTCTTCCAGACCGGGAAGGAAAGGTCCATGCTGCTCCTAGGATGATATTATTGTACTAATTATTGTAATTATTATCATTATTATCGTGTGTGGATATTTTAGTTGGGGTTTGAAATGCACACTTATTCCATGTATCTTTGTGTTTTCTCTTTAATATTTAAACTTATTTTATTATATCTGTGAGTACACGAGTAGACAGGAAGGACATGCAGATGTCCGGTTTTGCCAGACAGAAGCTATTAGGTGAAGTGTTTGTCATCTCTCCCACAAAGAGCTGCGGGACAGACCCCGCAGAACAGAGTGAAGAACGGAGGCCTTGGCCCCTGCGCAGCCCGGCCCGGGCGTTGGCCACGCCGGCCGCGGTGCTGAGCCTGAGTGTGGGCCCCGCCTGCCCTGCCCTTGAACCCTGCTGCCCGGATCCGGGGCCTGCCCACGCCTGCCCCGCACCTGCCCAGCCAAAAGAGCCCCCTGCCCGCAGCTGGTGCAGCCCCCCTAGGTCCCCCCCTCTCCCGTCCGTGCACCAGGAGGGTGGCTCACTCAGCCCAGAGGCCATGGTCCCTCCCGGAAGCCCAGGTAATGCTGCCGGGCAGGCAATGCCGCCTCCCCCACCCACCTCCCACCACACCGCCCACTTCCCCAGCCTGGCCCCTGCCCCCAGGACATCTCCGTTGGCAATCCTAGGGACAAACTAGCGAGCCAAAAAGGTGGAGGGATGCTAGGAGGCGGGTGGACACGGACGCCCAGCAGCTGCGCAGACACATGGGCCCACAGTGCCCTGCGTTTTCCATCAGCAAGGGGAGCCTGCGCTGCCCACAAAGCCAGCAACGCCAGCCCCGGTTGAAGAAAGGGTTGAAATGCCAGCTTCCCTGAAGGAAACGGGGGAGCCGCTGGGAGATGGGCAGGACCCAGTCCCACAGATGGTCCCCTAGTCCCCGCCCACCTCTCTGTTCCCTGGCACTTGCCCGCATCTCCCATCCCGTCCTCCACCTGAGTCACCCTAGCAAATTGGATGAGCAGAAGGCTGCCCACCCCTAGGACCAGGCTCTCAAGTAGAGGGGCGTCGACCCAGCCCTGTGTAGACCTCAGGTACCATAACCTAGAGCATCCTCTGTCCAGTAATTGGCTGCTTCCTTCTCTGCTGAGGAAGCATGGTAAGAGTGAGAGGAGGAGACATTCAAGAGGACAGGCGGGTGAGGCTGTGCCGTGGGCACCCGGAGCCGCAGGTCCACCCGCTCCTGCGCCGGGTCCTCGCCCGCCCTCCGGGGGGTTCGCACCCGTGTCTCTGCGCTCAGGGCCTCTTCCGTGACGATCGGGCTGTTTCCAAGGGAAGGGGTGAGCAGGCCGATGGGCGGGAGAGTCTGAGGCTTGATGCCAATTACTTTTGTGAAAGAGCATGGGTTGGTGGATTCAGAGGGGAAAGGAGGGTGGGGGCAAGCCGGTGGTTGTCTCCCAGATCGGATTTGCATCCGGGCCTTACGGGCCCCGAGTGGCTTGCAGGCCCTGGGAGCCGGCCCGCAGTCCCCGTCCCCCTGGGAGACAACCACCCGGACACCAGGCCGCTGGGCGTGGGGAGGGGAGGCGAGGGCGGCGCGGCTGCCAGCGGCTGCTTCCCCGCGACCAGGCCTGTAGAATTGCAGACCCTCGTTTTTGAACAAGCTTGTGGCGGAGGACTGGGGGGTGAGAGTGAGTGAGTGGGTGAGTGAGTGGAGCAGACTTTCTTGGAAAACGGAGGAAGGAGACGAGGAGGCTTGAGGAGCTGATCCCGATGGGCTGTGGGGGGTGGAACGCGGTGTCCGCGGGCTGGCCCAGCTCCCATCCGGACTGGGGCTGGGGTTGGGGGTCGGACAGGATGTGGGAGTGTGGGACAGGAAACAGGAGAACATAACCAGGTAGCAGAGGAAAGTCAGCCTTGAGCAGCAGAGAAAACCCAGCAGAGAGGCAACCTCACTGCGCCAGCATGACAGCTTTGCCACAAGGCATTCCAGCCTGGGGACTCGGCGTGCTTCTCGGCCTCCCCGTCCGCCTTTTCTTTCTGGAGTGTCTTACAGACTGCATGGGGAACCCTCAGAAGGAAGCAGGCCAGAGTTTCCCTTACCAAATCGTTCCTTTCTTTAGCCAAAGAGCCCTTCCCAGAGACACCTCCAAACACAGACAGCATGATGGCCCTCCGGTCCTTCCTCTCGGGGCAATAATGACATCGTGAGTGATGCCGTTCCATTTGTCTTTCTCTTTCCCCCGTGTCCTGACTTTTCGTTGTTGCGTTGATTTCAAAGCTGTGCTGGCCTTCTCAGAGAAGCAGATTAGGAACCTAACGCTGCTGCTGTGGGGGGACTGGGGACACCCGGCGAGTCTGTGAGCTTAGCTGAGCTCGCGTCACCCCGGGCCTGACCGGGCAGGCCTGCCGGGAAGCTCAGCTGCGTTTGGGGTTTGCATGGCGCCGGAGCCGGGCTTCCAGTACTTCTCCGCTTTGATGCCTTTGGACTCTCATTTCTAATCGCCACAGACTAGTCCGTAAAATCTCAGCCGGCTAGAGAATCGGAGATGGTGACATGACACTTAGTTGCAACAGAGACTTTCAGAGACCATTGCACCTCTGTCACTAGCATCATCACCCCCACCACCCCCACCCCCTGCAGAGGCTTCTCACACGGTGCCTGCTCTTCCCTTCACACCCCGTTGGCACGGATGGGACTCTCCATAGGGCATGCTCTCCGAATACCTGTCCCAGAGGGGCCCTCCTGAGTGCCCCCAACTCAACTCCCACAAGCCTCTCAGAGCCCCGAATCTCAAGAGTATTAGATCGACGGTCTCATTTCTTCTCAAAACCCGCAGCGTCCCTCACCGAAAACCCAACATTGGTTGGATCCTTCAGTGCTCCAGGCCCAGGCCAAGCCCTGGGAGGTGGCCTCATGGTGCCCTCAGGGCCACCCCATGTGCGATGCCCCCGTTACTGGTGGGGGGTTGGTGAGGAAGCTGATGTTCTAACAAAAGGAAAAGCAGTAAATAAAAATAAGAAAAGAAAATCTAATAGTGGTCTGAAATTGCCACATTTCTAATGACATTTTTGTTGAAGTCTTGGCTGAGATAGGAGTTTTAATTAGCAGCCTCATATTTCTGACCAACCATTTAGTGGTACTCCCCTCGATTGTGTGCCGAACACTGTGCTCAACACTGCTCATCAGTGAGCTTGTTTGCCCGGGTCTTCAGAAAAACTGCGAAATCAGCAACAGTCACCCCGTCACAGAGGAGTCAGCTGCAGGTCACCCAGCGAGGGTGGAGCGGGCCTTGAACCCAGGTCTGAGCCGCTAGCCTCGGTGTCTCCCGTGTTTAAACGCAAAGGGAGGCCTTGAGATGTCCCCGCGCCGTTGCTCACCACGCGTGGGACTCGGCAGCAGGTCTGCATGGAGAGGGAGCCCCAAATTGGAGGCGAGCGGAGGGGCAGCAGTAGCTTGACTTTTAGAGAAAACTGTAGGGGTGTTTCTTTCGATTCATAATAGAATTTGTTTTAGGTCCCTTTCCAGTGTACCAGCTAGTCTTAGTACCGCTGCCACCACAAACTCATGAGAGTGAAAAGGAAAAAAAGTGTTCTTTCCCTCTTTAAAAAAAACACATTTTTTTTCTTGCTTATAGTTAATTCTAGAAAGACAATACTAAAGGTATAAAAAAAAAAAAAGTGCTGATTTTGACTGCACTGATAAACATCATGACAAGTCTGCTCTCGTAACCGACCCACGCTTCAGCTCTGGGTAGAACCAGGGGTGGGGTCACACCAAATTTGTAAATACCATGTATGGGGCTGGTGTCCTGGAACTTTTTTCTTTTTTAAAAAAAAAAAAAAAATAGGAGGAGAAAGATGATTTTTAGAAAGAGGAGCAAAATAAAGTTTTATCTGAGACAGTCTTCTCAGAGTTGGTGGAGAGCAGCGGTGTGGAAACTGAGGGGAGAGTCTCTCGCCGGCGTCCGAGACTGTGTATTTCGGTTGAAAGGTGACAGTTTAGAAGTACCTTGGGACTCGGTGTTTAATTTTTTAGAAAATTCTTATTTGTTATGAAACATCTCCTCAGTTGTTTTGGGTGGGAGTTTTTTGTTTGTTTCTTTTTTATTTTAAAAACTTCTCTATTGGCTGGCTCCAGGCTTGTCTGCCTAAACTCTTGGGTAGTTTACACAAGTTCTGGAGTGTTCCAAAACTTGAACTCTATTGAAAGCAAACCCAGCTCGTTGGAAGTAGATCCTGGTTGGTTTCGGTAGGCGTGCTGGAATTCTGACGGAGCACCTAAAGGTTCTTCTGAAGAAGGTTTAGCTACATTATCTTACACAAACTGTGACCTAATGGCAATAATACCTCAAATGTGGCATTCGTCCCAGATGTAGCCTCTTTTGAAGTCATGTAGCCGGCCTGCTCCTGGGATTTAGAAGACTGTGAACTCTGTGGGCTTGAGTGAATTCCGAAAATAGCTGGTCTTCACGACGAAAATTAAACCGAGGAAGAGCTGACTCTCTGTCTGTTGTGATCAAATGTGATGTCCCAATGCACATGTTCAGTCCTCACGTTCTTAGCTACTGTAACGCGCTGTTCGCCTCCTAAGGCAGCGATCGAGTCACATTTTAAATGTGTACATTCAATAACTGACCGTGGATGCTGAAGCATTTTTCTGGCTACATTTTATAGTGAAAGTGTTTTATAGTTTACATTTAAACTGGTACTTTAAAAAAAAACAAAAAACATTTCTGTTTATAACTGACATCTTCAGACCCTGGTGAGCACCCCCCAAGGCAGGGTCCCACCCATACTGTTGTGTTATGTAGCACCACCCTTCGCTTATGGTTTCCATGGGAACGAGACAGATGTGGAAGGGTTTCCAGGTTAGGTCCACAGCCTGGGCCAGATGCGAAGACCTCGTGTGCCGTGTATCCACCCTTCAAGGCCTTGACATCTCAGAAGAGGCAGAGAGAACAGACGCCTGGTTCATTGACTTTGTCTTGATTTGAATGTTTAACTTACCGATGATCCACTGACCTCCATTGACCAGGCAGTAGGAGACACTGGGATCCAGGGAGCCCTGAAGTTCTGCTGCTGTATCCGGGCCCCCTGGCGGCATCCTGCTGGGGCTTTCCGCGGGGGTCGTCCACCCATCCCTCCGCCTGTGCTCATTGGCTACGTTCACCCTATCTGCTGTCATCCTGTCCTTCTCTCCATGGACACTAAATACATGCAAAAGGATGTGTCTGTTCAACGTAGATTTGAGGCCTAGGTCAGTGGGAGGGGGGCCTGGGTCCTTCCTAGTGGTTGTGAGTCCGCTGAGCAGGAGGGCTGGGGACTGAGGGCCGTGGGGCCGCCGAGGCCCGTTGAAGGAGCGGTCAGAACTGAAGGCGAGAGACTCAGAGCCAGGCCCGGGTCCTGCGGGTGTCGCTGTGTGAGGAGGACCCGCTGTGAACTAAAGGGCATTCCTTTAGCAGAGGAGACCTTGGGACCTGTTTGTGGTTTTGTTTTTAAAACGCATCTGCTTTTTCCCTGTGAACTCTGTCGACAGCACGTTCCTATTTCAGGTTTCTGTTAGAAATCTTATTGTGAGGTATTTGTCATCTCACCCCTTCTGCTTACACCCCCGCTCTCCTCCGATGGGCTCTCCCTTTGCTTTACTTAAGCAGATGAGTTTTCCACCATTGTCTTTGGGTCTTAACCCTATTTTTTAAAACTAGAGGTATGGAAATTGGCTTTTTTAAGTAAGTATCCTGTGTCTGAAAAAGGGCTCTGCCATTGCTTGCTAGTTTCCTTTCAACCAGTCACCACACGAGCCTCCCCACTCGGCCTCGCCCCGCGTGGTGTCCCGTCACTGTCCCCGGGCCCCGCCGGCCTCCGCCCTGCTGGGGCCGCAGCCCCGCGGCCAGGCACCCTGCCCCCGGAAGCTCTCAGGAGCCGGCACGAAGGGCCCACGCAGCCTTGTGAGGGGTGGTCTCGCCTCCCAGTTGGTCGCCTGCTTGGTCGAAGGAGCAGTGGACTTATCATTATTTTAATAGTTTGGCTCAGGTTATGAGGACTTGGGAAGGGAAAAGTGGTTTGACCACGCCCATTCTTTGTAGCTTTCCGTGACTTCTGAATGGAACATAGTGTCCCTACCCCCTGCCCCGCCCTTCCCAGCAGGCATCCCTGTTGGCGATGCCTCCACATGGCATGGTTTCTCCCCACCCCCACCCCCACCCCCACTCGCCTCCCTCGTGTTACCGCTCATTTCTTCGTGGCTTTCCCAGAGCACAATCATTTCTCCCCCCAAAGCAACTGCTCATCCTCTGTGCGCATCCTTTTAACCAAATGAAGTAGACCAGGAAGGCATCCTTTGGGGCACCAGAATTTCTAGTTTAGTAGAGAATCACTGTGTAGATAGAGAGGTGGGTATGTATGTTTGTGGGAATATGTGTATATATATATATACATCAAACCAAATGGCGGGTAGGAGAAGCATAGCTTTACGGAGGAGGAGGAGGAGACGGTGGAGGAGGAGCTTTTAGAAGTTGGATTCGGCCCCGGGCTGCACTGGCCACACCTGGGCCGGGGGCTCGCCGAGTGGGGGCAGGTGCCCCGAGCGCCGCTGCTCTCTGGGTCCCCAGCGTCAAGGGCAGAGGTGAGCGAGGGAGGCAACGAGTCACAATGACTGGAATTTTCCATCTCGATTTGCTTTGACCACATATATTGAGCTGCCGTCTCTGGTGTTATATCACGTTTCCAAAAATGGTATCCATTAGGGTGGAAAGAGAACGGATCTGTAGAAACGTTTACCTTCCAACTGCCCGTGAACTTAGGACACTCTGGACGGAAGGAAGGCTCACGCCCCAGAATGAGAACAGGGGAGAGGAGACCAGGTGACGCTCGGTCACCAGTCCAAGGGATGTCGCTCCCTCCCCGAGGTCAGCTGGTCTAGATCTTTCTCTTCCAGGTCATCTCAGCTCAATAACCCTGTGGAAGCCCTGGTCTGTTGTGTTCCTTCACTGTACTGTTTCTGTAATGAAAAGTGTTAATCCACGTTAATCTTTGTGAAAATTATTGCGTGCAACAGTATTTTCTCGTGTACCTCTTTTTCCTATGTGAATTGTCCCGCTTCTCTTTTTTATTTATAAATGTCTACTTTTTTAAAAAGACAAACCAATGTGTCGTAGACCTCTATGTAACCTACTCCTTAGTCTCATATTATAGGTATGTTATAAGAATGGATATTTTACTTGGCTTTAGAATGTTTTACAAGAAAAATAATTCTTAACTGATCAAGTCCTTGCTACTAAAATGCTTGTGTTTTTTCATCATGACGTCGTGTGCTTCTAAATTAATAATCATTTTCGTTGTAGAAAAATGGAGTGAATTTATATTAGTCTTGGAAACTAATAATAGCATTGTAAATTTATGAGATGATTTTAACAGAAAAAAAAATTATAGAAGAATATAGTTATTTTAATTGTAATATTACTAACTGTAGGGTGAGAAGGGGGTCCCGTGTGGTGAACTATGTTATAGCTTGTTACTCACAGTTTCTTTTTGATCATTTTTTCGGTCTCTGAGGTGAAACGAGTTATTAATTAAAATTTGTAAACTCACATATGCATATTGTATATGTGTAGCGATGTAATCACACTTTGTCTTGGAATTACATTAAACTGTTTGGAATCACTGTCCGCGGGCTGGCATGCTTATTTCTTCCGGAACCAGACCCGTCATGGGACTGGAGAGGTTACTGCTCTGAGTAACGGCCTTCCGAAGTTCCTTAGCCCCACGGAAAGTATTCAGTACATCTGAACGTGTTCCTCACCCAGTGCCGAACTTAACGTTTGTCAAGATGCCGGCCGGTGTGACCCCGTTGTGTGGGTGTCGTTGTGTGAGGTGGCCAGTTCAGTCCCGGTCAGGACACATGCCCGGGTTACAGGCTCGATCCCCAGGGGGGTGTGCAGAGGCAGCCAATCGGTGATTCTCTCTCATGGATGGTTCTATCGCTCTCCTTTCTTCTCTTTGAAATCAATAAAAAACATTTTTTTTTTTTTAATTTTGCCAAGATGCCCATGTGTGGCTGTGGAGGGGCCTCACTTGCCCGCCCCTGAGGTCTCCTAGCTCCCTTCCCTCTTCCCGGCCATTTCAACCCCGTCCGCTCCCAAACCATCCTGGAGGCCTTGCTGTCATCACCGTCCTAAGAGCTTTCCAGCGTTCATGCGGGGTTCGGGGTGCAGCCTCCCTTTGCACCCAGGTCCTGCCCTTCACCAGACGTCAGTGTCAGCCGCTCCCCGTTGAACTGCTCACCTGGGCCCTCCCAGAAGCCCCTCCCGGCCACCTCGGGAAGCACAAGTACTCCTCCTCCTCCACTGTGGCTTCCCCATTCCAGCATGTTCATGGTAAAATACACACAGCGTCACATTTATCACTTTGAAGTTTAAAGGGTACAGTTGGTGGCACTGGTACATGCACAGTGTCTATTTCTAGAACTTTCATCATCCCAAACAGAAGCTCTGAGCCCATTCAGGAACAACCCCCTTCCCAGCCCTGGCAAACACCTTTCCACTTTCTGTCTCTGGATCTGCCCATTCCTGTAACCAGCTACACCGCGGTTGGCAAACTGCGACTCTTTGGCCCCCTGAGCGTGGCTCTTCCACAAAATACCACGGCCTGGGCGAGTCTGTTTTGAAGAAGTGGTGTTAGAAGTTTAAGTTTTAAAAAGTTGGCTCTCAAAAGAAATGTCAATCGTTGTACTGTTGATACCTGGCTCTGTTGACTAATGAGTTTGCCGACCGCTGGGCTACACTATTTGCCCCTTTTTTTGTTGTTGTTTTTTTGGCTTTTTTCACCTAACAATGCTTTCAGCATCCGTCTAGTTACAGCACGTGTCAATCAGAATGTCCTTGTGAGCCTGAGTAACGCAGCACTGAGCATGTGCACCACGATTTGTTTATCTGCTGCTCTGAGGATGGCTGGGTGATTGTTCCCACGGTCCGGCTGTGCAGACAGTGCTGCTGCGAGCTCTCGTGCGCGGGCACTAGTCCTGCTTCCATTCGACTGGAGCGCAGTCGCTGGAGGGTAAGGTGAGCCTTAGCTTCGCCACAGCTGCTGCCCCATCTTTCATCCCCACCAGGAGCGCACGCGGGCTCCTCCCCGACACCCATCATGACCTCGATTGTCGGTGTTCGGGGCCTCAGGACTGCCAGCCCCTGACCCCCATCCTCCGTGCTACCTGGGCTCCCACGAGGCCCACCCACCTCCTCGCCCGGACCCTCGGCTCCCTGCCCACTTGCTGTGGACAGAGTCATCTACGTCTCTTCTACCCCCGGCTCGCAGAGTTCTGGGAAGGCCTCCTAACCCTGCCCACCTGGTCAGCCTGCCAGGTGCTCCCAGCTCCCTCCTGGCTAACCGGGACCCGCCCACCCTCCCAGGCCCCCAGCCTCTCTCCCTGAGGAATCCGAGGATCCAGGCGGCCACGCGGCTCCCTCAGCCCGCCCCTCCCAGCAGGCTGTGTGCGGGCAGGGCTCTCCCTCGGCCTCAGGAAGGAGGCTCGTCCCCCGAGCGCACCCTGTGTAGCCCCCGCTCCCCGTCTCGGACCCAGTGCCCTTGGAGAACCAGCTGCATCATCTCCGGGAAGGTTGCCCTCGGGCTCCCATGAGGTAGGTGCATCCTCCTTCCCGCCTCCCACTCCCGTGTAATTGTCATTTACCGCACTGTCGGGCTTCTCCGCTGATTTCCTTCCCCACAAAACCTCAAAGCCCTCCCGGGAAGGATTTCGCTTCCCCCTCTCTCCCGGGCGTCTGTGACGCCAGGCAGAGCGGGTGGTCAGTAAACATTTGGATAAGTGGACAAGTTACTCAGCCCATTTTCATGCCCCAATCAACCCTCGTTCCCACTCCACAGTGTGTCTCCCAGAACGCAGGTGAAACCAATGGAACCCAAAACACAGACAATACTCGAACGTGGGTTAAACTCGGTTGAGCCAAGTTCAAGTTCCATAAAAATCCAGGCAAAAGACTTGGACAGAACTCTCTGTCACACTGCTCCTCACACGATGCGTGTGTCCGGGGACCACAGCTGCGGGAGCGGGGAGAGGGGAGGATGCCCGGGGATGCAGGCAGCTGTGCGGAAGGGTCTCACCAGCCGTGACTTTGGAAACTGATTTAAATCTAAAATGAGCCCAGCCGGCGTGGCTCAGTGGTTGAGCGTCAACCTATGAACCAGGAGGTCAGGGTTCGATTCCCCGGTCAGGGCACATGCCTGGGTTGCTGGCTCCATCCCCAATAAGGGGCGTGCAGGAGGCAGCCAACTGGTGATTCTTTCTCATCAATGATGTTTCTCTTTCCCTCTCCCTTCCTCTCTAAAATCAATAAAATAATAGCCGAAACCAGCTTGGCTCAGTGGATAGAGCATCAGCCTGTGGACTGAAGGGTCCCAGGTTAAGGCATGTACCTTGGTTGCGGGCATATCCCCAGTGGGTGTGCAGGAGCAGCTGATCGATGTTTCTCTCTCATCTGTTTCTAACTACCTTCCTCTCTGTAAAAAATCAATAAAGTATATTTTTAAAATAATAATAATAAATCTAAAGTGAAAAACTCACTGCCTTCAATGTGCTCCCTGGGACATAGCTGATCCTGGGTGACAAGGCTTAGGTTGTCCTAGTTACTCTTCCTAGAGACCAGGAAGCAGACTCCTGGGTCCATAAGGCCTATTTCCCGGCTGAGCCAGGCGCCCCGAGGAGGGCCCCCAGCGATTGGACGGTGCTCTCCCTGCCCGGCAGCCAGCTCAGGCCCCGTAAATGCCCTCTTGCGAGACTTAATTCCTCCTCAGCTTCCCTTAAACGGCTGGCTCTCTGTGAGGATGTGACATGGCAGGGTCCAGCAACACCCCTGATCCTCACTCTGTAGGGAAGAGACAGACAGACCTGGGAGCCAGGCATGCTTCCGAACATGAGAGGATGTACTTTAAGTGCTGATCTGTAGGAGGGATCTAGTCCCTCCTCCTGAGACACCGCCATCAGCAGCACTTCCAAATGGCTCTGGCCAGGCACCTGGGAAAGAAACCACTAGACGTCTACGTTCAAGTCTCCTTATGTCCTGTTTAGATGTCTTCCTACGTTGTATTACACCAGCTCTCTGAGGACCTTTATCCGCTGCAGACTAAGCTCATGGATGGGGTTGCTCTGAAGAGAACAATTTTGCCATCGTAGATAAAGGGCCAGGGCCAGGGCCAGAGGAAAAGGGGATGCTTGGAGGAGGCCCTCCTGAGCGGGAGAGGCGGTGCTGAGCGAGCGAAGCGCTAGGAGAGAAGGCGGTTCAGTGGCCAGGGAATGCAAGTGGGCCGTGAAGGAAGGGTGTTCTGAGTCAGTCCCAGGAACTGAGCTGAGAAAGCTGGGGAATCGCTTAACCTCTCATGCCTCAGCTTTTTTTCTTTTTTTCTTTTTTCTTTTTTAATATATTTTATTGATCCTTTACAGAAAGGAAGGAAGAGGGATAGAGAGTTAGAAACATCGATGAGAGAGACTTTGATCAGCTGCCTTCTGCACACCCCCTATCAGGGATGTGCTTGCAACCAATGTACATGCCCTTGACCAGAATTGAACCTGGGACCTTTCAGTCTGCAGACCGACGCCCTATCCACTGAGCCAAACCGGTTTCGGCTCACCTCAGCTTTCTTATCTGTGAAATGGGGATACAATTACATGCAGAAGACTGGACATTCCCCAGTCCTTTCCTCTAGACACAGAGATTTATATTTCCTAGATTTCTTTGCAGATAATTATATGGCCAGAGCTGACCCCTAAAAAAGCTCTCAGTCACTTATCCACACTCTCGTCCCTCCGTTTCTAGCCAGATGTGGAAGGTCTGAAGGACTCTTGAGAGCCCAGAGAGCAGTGGGGCCACCAGATGGCAGAAGCCCAGGTGGCTGTCCCCTAGCAAAACCACGCTGGATAAAACCATGAAAGAGCAAGAGATAAATCTTTTTTTTTTAAATATGTTTTATTGATTTTTTACAGAGAGGAAGGGAAAGGGATAGTTAGAAACATCAAGGAGAGAGAAACATGGACCAGCTGCCTCCTGAGTCCGTAGGCTGATGCTCTATCCACTGAGCCAAACCGGTTTTGGCAAGAGATAAATCTTTCAATTATATTTAAGCCATTGAAATGTTAGGATTGTTTATTATTGCAAGTAGCTTATCTTATTATCATCTTTTTTTTTAAATATATTTTATTGATTTTGTACAGAGAGGAAGGGAGAGAGATAGAGTTAGAAACATCGACGTGAGAGAGTCATTGATCAGCTGCCTCTTGCACCCCCTTTACTGGGGATGTGCCCACAACCAGGGTACATGCCCTTGACCGGAATCGAACCCGGGACCTTTCAATCCACAGTCCGACGCTCTATCCACTGAGCCAAACTGGTCTCAGCTATTATCATCTTCTTTAACTTTAGCTCTCATGTAGGTTGAGTAGGGTATCAGTATGCTAGTTTCTAGAACAAGTAAGTCAAACTTGGCCCTCGGGCCGCATGCAGCCCACAATGAATATTTTTGCAGCCCAGCCAATATAATGAACGGTATGTAAAACATTTTAATAAAAATTTTCTAACTTGATTTTTACAATATCCTGTTATACATACTTATTAATAACAAACTACAACATTTGCTAATGATTACTATAATCATGTTGCATTCATTTCCCTTACATGCATTATACACAGGTGCACCATTTCTCTCCACTAATACTAGCAGCAAGTATTTTAGCAGCTGATTAGTCTTGTACTGACTTGTTTGGCACAACAGAAAATATTTTGCTTTCGGAGACCAAGAAAAATAGATTTTTTTTGCATAACACTTATTAATTTGTGTAGTTATGCAGTGTCTGGTAAGTTAAAGAAACAAATATTTTTATTAAAATGTTCTATTATTTTATGTTAACAACTAGAGGCCCGATGCACAAAGATTCGTGCAGGAATGGGCCTTCCTTCCCCTGGCTGCCAGCACTGCCTTTGCTCCACCTGGAGCCACCTTTCCGCCTTCCCACACTGCCAAAAGGCTCAGAGTGGCTGGGCTGGTGCAGAATGCCTGGCAGCGACAAAAACATCCCACCCCCGGCTGCTAGGCACCTGTGTATGCAAATTAACCCATCATCTTTGTTGGGTTTATTTGCATACTCACTTCTGATTGGCTGGTGGGCATCGCAAAGGTATGATCAATTGGCATCTTTCTCTTTCATTAGTGAGATTACTCATTTATTTCAGCTCTTTGTATTCAGTATGTCTCTATCAAAATATACCTACATTTCTATGAAAATTGAAGCCTTTGTTTTTGCAGCCCACATAAACTTAAACCTTGTTTATTTTGCTCATGGTAGCCTTCGAGTTTGACATGCTTGTTCTAGAACAATGCCCAAATTGCCGAGGTTTACCAAAATAAAGGCCTTATTCTCCTGTAGCCTGACTAGTGCAGGTTAGCGATGGGAGCAGCTTCGCTCCGTCCGGGGCTTTGAATGGAGAGGGTCCCACAGAATGTGGTGGGGATGTCACAGAGCAGTCTGCCCGGCAACAAGCCTTGTCACTGTGCTTTTTCTTTTTCTTTTTTAATATATTTTATTGATTTTTTTTTTTTACAGAGAGGAAGGGAGAGGGATAGAGAGCCAGAAACATCGAGAGAGAGAAACATCCACCAGCTGCCTCCTGCCCACCTCCCACTGGGGATATGTCCGAAACCAAGGTACATGCCCTTGACCAGAATCGAACCTGGGACCCCCCCAAGCCCGCAGGCCGACGCTCCATCCACTGAGCCAAACTAGTCAGGGCTCACTGTGTTTTCTTTCCGGCACATGGAAGGATTGCATTTCTCGGTCTTTTTGAAGTTAGGTGTTCAAGCTTTTCCTTTAATCAGGGAAAGGTTTCAGGAGTCCCAGGCATTTCCAGGTGGGAGCATTTGGGAAGCAATGTATGCTTCTGCAGGTTCTCCCCCTAACCGTGATTGGTGGGTTAGGAGGAAAGCATCCTGACATGCGAGGGCAATGTGACAGGCAGGTCTCCGGAGCCGAGGCAGAATCTGCAGAATCTGCGTAAATGAGAGAGAAAGCCTCGAGAGTGGTTTGTTATTAAGCACTTACTGTGGACCAGGCACTGTGCTGAGCGAGCGAGCACTCCCGTGTGAACTGCATAGCACCCTGTCTGGCCCTAACAAGCTCTCTCGTAATTAGTGGTAATTGTTATTGTTATTCCAATTGTGTCTTAGACTTGTATGTATTCGCTCAAATGGGTCCTGTGCTCTAGACCAAGGTCCAGAATGGATGTCACAAGGCGGGTGAGTATCTTGCTTTTCTTTTTTTCTCAAAAACATCTGAAAGTTTTCCTAGTTTGTGGGCAGCTGGATGGGAAATGCAGGTTCTAGGGCCAGAGACAGCATGGCATAGAGCAGGGGTGGGGAATCTCTCTTCAGCCCAGGGCCACGTGGATACTCATAACATCCTCCACAGGCCACACAGAGTAATCACACAGCTTAAAAATCAGCCTGCTGTGAATGGCCAAACACTTAACCAACTCACCCCTACTGCCTGGGCAGGCCGGACCAGAGGATTCCTGGGTCTTATACGGCCGAGGGCAGGATGCCCCCCACCCTGGTGTAGAGGAAAGAGAAGTGGAAGCCAAGATCAGTTTAGTTCCACACACATTTATTGAGCACCTTCTGCATGTACCAGGCGCCAGAGAAACAGAAAAGTGTGCAAGGGGACCCCTGCCCTCTAGGAGCTTAATTCCCACACGGGGGGTCAACAAATACACAAAGCAGGACACATGCAGTGATGAGAGAACAAACAGGAAACAGGAGTGCCACGAGGCCGGTTCCGGCCCTGCCCCTAGCTGTGTGACCCTGGACATGTCACTCGACCTCTCTGTGCCTCACGGATAGTTAGAATGGGTTCGTTCATTTCTAACCCCTGGAATTCTAACATCTAAGGTTCTCAAAACCCTGTTGGGTCGGCAGGGCGGGTATGTTCTAGTTGACAGGGGTGAAGCTGGGGTCAGAGAGGTTCCGCACAGCGGCCTGAACTCCAGGACTGCTTGTGGGGAAGAGCCGGCCCAGGCAGGTCTTTGGAGCCAGGCCCAGTGTGTGTCCCCTCCCCGCCGCCTTCGCGGAGAGGCGGGATCTCGGATGGGGAGCCTTCCTGGATGCCCGTTTCCATCTCACTCTCGGAGCCTGGAGCCGGCTGCAGAGCAGGCAGGGGAGAGAGGCAGTTTACTCCCTCCCCGCCTCCTCTCCAGCGGCTCGCACGCAGCAGGCAGCGGCCATTTCTGGAAACCGGGTCTCGGCTGTCAGTCAACAGCAGGGATGGTAAGGCTATATATCCCAGGGGCCACAGGAACCTCCAGCAGCCACCCCCGCCCGCTGGTCACTCCGAGCCTGGTCCCGCCCGCGGCCGTGAATCAGGCTGCGGGAACGATGCAAAGGGCGTTTTGGAGACGGAGGCAGCCCTCCCTCAGGGCCCCTGTACTTCCGGCCACCCCCACCCAGCCCAGAAGCGTGTGCAGGGGCATATTTCACTGGAGCAGAACAAACCCGAGAGTCCCTCTCTGCTGTGCCTCTAACCACGCCCACCGAGGCCAGACAGGAGTCTGATGGCCGCTCTCCGCCGTGGAGACGGTGATGCTGTGTGCACTTGCCGTGTGCAGCCGCCTGAGTGCGTGTCTGTACATCAAGAGGCCAGGCCACGCAGGGCCCGCTCCCCGGGGGATTATGAGGTGCAGGGGCGGTCGGGTGACAGGAAGACACGTCGGGGAGGCAGGGTGGCAGGCGCCTGTGAGAGGCTGTGTTAAGAGCTGGAGGTGCTGGGGAGAGGGCGAGTCGCTCCGGGCTGGGCTGTCCTGGCCAGTGGCCCGCGGGGAGGCTGGTGCTGGGCCCTGGGGGAGAGACGGAGTCGTTACTGGCAACCCCTGCTGTGCAGGCTGGACATCCCCGGGGCGCCCCTTCTCCTCGCGGTCTCACAGGGACACCCCCTCCCTCCTCGGAGCCGGCCGGCCGGCTGGGTGGGGACGCTCATGCCAGACAAGTGTCTCCCCAAGAGCCCTGTGGGGACGGTCTGGGTTCAAACCCCGCCCCCCTCTCCCCACCCTGCTGTGCACATGCGCACCTCCTTCACGTCCTAGCCGGCTCCTCTGGCGGATGGTGCCGACCTTGCAGGGTGAGGATGCACTAAGCAAACACTAGTAACTCGTTAGCACAGCACCCAACGCTCCCACCCCAGTGTGTCCTCCTTAAAAAGCCCTCCCTGTCACCCCCATCTTCACAAGAGCCGTCCGTCTGCGGGCTCCAGCCTTCCCCAGGCGCCCTGCTGGCTCCAAGGGACTGGGCTTTGGGTTCAAATGGGCCAAGGAAGAAGGGGCTGTGAGCTAAGCTTACTCGGTGCTTCCCCCCTGTGGCCGCCGGGAGCACACCACCCGGCTCCACAGCCCAGCAAACCCAGTGGACTCGGCCCACGAGAAGGGGGGCTGCGGGGCTGGTGGTGTGTATTTCTGAAGATAGGCCAGGCCAGTTTTTGTTTGTTTGTTTTAATATATTTTATTGATTTTTTTTACACTTAGCAAGAGACAGGGATAGAGAGAAACATCGATCAGCTGCCTCTTGCACACCTGCTACTGAGGATGTGCCCACAACCAAGGTACACGCCCTTGACCGGAATCGAACCCGGGACCTTTCAGTCTACAGGTTGACACTCTATCCACTGAGCCAAACCGGTTTCGGCTAGTGTTTTGTTTCTGGCTTGTGTGTCCTCCCCCTGCAGGAACCAGATAGGAAAACTGGTGACAGGGAGCCAGGGCTCCTTCGCTGAACTGATGGGAACTGTCCTGTGGGCCCGGCAAACCCGAAGTCAGGAGAGGCCTGTCACCAGCTGGAGCAGGCCTTGCCGAGTCCAATCGCAAGGGTTCACCGCCCGTCACACGGCCTCCTTCCCGCCCTCCTGCTGCTGTTCCTCCGCCCGGGCCCCAGGCCAGGCCAGAGCACTCGGCCCCTGCTCCGTCCTCCGGCCGTGGGGCCGGCCGGTCACAGCTCTGTCCCTATGGCACTGCCTGCCTCCGGGCGTTTCTGTGAGAATTAAATGCAGTGCCGCGCGGAAAGCAAGGCACTGGGCTTTTTTGGGGGGAAGGGACTTTTTTTAATTGACTAAGGTATTATAAGTGTGTTTATCTCCCCCTTGGCCCCCCCCCCAATCCTGCCCTCACTCTCACCCTCACCCCCTGTTGTCTGTGTCCTTTGGTTATGATCATCTGCATGCATACGAGCCTCTTGGTTGATCTCTCCGCTCCAGGCTTGTGAGCCTCGCTGTCTTTGAGGGGAGGACACCGAGACCCCGGACCTGAGCCCGACTGAGCACAGGTGAGCGGACACCTGCCCCCCAGCAGGAGCAGCTGGCCGGTCCTCAGCCTGCAGCCCCTCAACACTCCCCGCAGGTGCCGGGAGAGGGGGCTTCCTGCCACCCCACAGCCCCACCCCCACCCTGAATCCCCCTAAGCTTGTGATCATACACCCAGCCCCCTCGGGCTCCCCAATAATGACAAGATGCAGAACCCCAGAATGCCCATGTTTTACTAGAAATCTAGAAAGCATGTAAGAGGCCAACAAAACCAGGCTGCAGTGCTGTCTGAAACCCCGCAGTGAGGGCCAGGCGGAGCGGGGCTGGACCTGGTTCCTGAGCTATTTCCTGAAAATGGGCCGGGACCCAGTTCCCACAGCAGCTCCCAGGCAGACCGCCCATGTGACGTGCCCAGGGCACCCAGCGGAGGATGGGGCAGCCTGGGCCCCACGGCCAGCTGCTCTGCCCTGGGGGAGGGGGGTATGAACAGGGTTGGGGGGGACACTGGTGGACCTGCCACCCCCCTCTCGTCCCCTCACCCCCACCCCAGGCAGACCAAAGAGCCCCAGACCTGCACAAACTCCTATCAGGTCCAACACAAACATCATCTCGAGCCCGTGGCCAATCCTCCCCTGAGGCAGCATAAACCCTCCCTGGGCTGCGTTCCAGGACATTCTGGAACTTTCCAAGCCGTTTCCTCCGCTCCCAGTGTGCTCCCTGGGGGAGAGAGCTGTTGATCCCCGTGCCTGGCGCGGTGTCTGGCGCGTGGTGGGTGTGAATAAGGCTCCTCACGCTGAGCTGAATGGTCATGAGGAGCCGGAGGAGCTCGGGGCTGCACAGGTGAGCGGTGCCCTGAGGCCCCCCTGGTTCTGCCCTCAGGTCCTGCACTGCCGCCTGCCCAGCCAGGTCCAGTGGGCTTGGTGTGGCCCCGGAGCCGCGCCCTCTGCCCTCCCCGAGCCTGGAGCAAACGGCGGCGACTCCTCTGGATGCTTCACCTCTTTATTCCACCGGAGACGCGACAGCGGGACCTGCCAGGCAGCGCCCAGACCAGGCAAGGCGGGCGGGTGTGCGGACCCAGGCCAGGGGAGCCCTGCCTCCCAGCCTCCCCGAGAGAAATGATGGGGGGAGGCGGAACGACAGGGACGCTGTGTGTGCCGACAGCAGGGCCAGGGCGGCAGGAGGAGGAAGGCTCCAGGATGGGGCAGGGTGGGAAGGGGAGTTGGGGGGGGGGGCGGCTTGTTGGGTGCTGTGCTTGTGCTGAGCGCATGGGATTCAGCTGCTGAGCCACACAGGACTGCCTGGGGCCAAGGAGACGGGACTCATGGGCCTGGGCGGAGCCCGGGGCGGCGGGCGGGCGCCTGACCCACCTCACGTGTAGGCCGTCTTGCTGCACACCCAGGGCCGGGTCATCAGGCACTCCGTGGACACCAGCCTGGTGGGCTCCACGAAGACGCACTCCCCCAGCCCCGCGATGGCGAACCTGTGGCCGGGAGAGAGACCGCGCTCAGCCTGTGGTGTCCGCCCGCCTCCACCACCTCCCCGGCCTCCGAACGGGCTTCCCACTGCTCCGGGCTCCCGACCCCCCCACACACACCCCCTCACACACACACACACACGCACACACACGCACACACGCCCCTCTGTCCCGGCCCCCAGCCCAGCTCCCGAGCAGGGGCCCCTGGCACAGGGTCCACACGGAGGAGCGGGGGGGAGAGGATGGGCTGAGAGGGCTCAGGTTAGGGGGGACCCTGATCCCACCCGTGGTCCACACCGGGGCTGCGGCCAGGAACCGGGCGTCACTCAGGGCCTGAGCGGAGGGCTCTCCTCGCCTGAAATCGGCCCTTCGGAGTCCAAGGTTCCTTCACCCCGATCCGAGCCCCTGCCCAGCCTGGCGCTGGGGTCCCACCAGCGTCGGCGTCAGAATGACCCCGAGAGGGAGTGTGGGGGCAGGACCACCTCAGTGTCAGGGAAACGGCCCATGGCTGCCAGGTGGTCGCATGTGGGGACCCATCCCAGGGCTCTCACTGCCTCTGGGAGCAGGAGCCTCCAGAAGGGGCTAAGGGGACAAAGTGTAGGACTTCCCAGCAGCGCTAAGAGCTGATCTGCGACGGGAGCGGGAAAAGGGAGAGGAGGAGAGGCAGGCGCAGCAGTGGAGAGGGGACGGGAGAGCCGGTAACCGGCTGCTTGGCGCTGGAGGCCGCTGGGACGGAGGGAGCCTCCCTCGGCCTCCGTGGGAAGGGGCCTGGGGTCCCCCACCTCCTCGTGGCCTGTTCCTCCAGCCACAAGGTCTGGACTGAAAGCCGGGGGTCATTCCCTGCCCTTGTCTAACCGAGACCGCCCCCCACACCTGTCCCCACCTCACTGCCCCAGCGTACACCCCACCACCTGTGACCACTGCCCTGTCACCCCACACACCAGTGCCTGGTCCTCCCCCTCACTCACTCACTCCCACACGTGGTCTCACATCACACACCGCGCACACCCAGCGGGGTCTCCCGCTCACAGGGCCCAGCTCCGCCCCTTGCCGGCAGGGTCAGCGTTGGGTGATGTGTGGCTGTCCCCTCTCCCCTCCCTGTGGCCAGGTGTGTGTCACACAGAGGGACCTCCAGGCACGGCCCCCCTCCCCCTCCCCTGGGCTGAGCCGTGCAGACAGCCCTGACAGACAAGGGGGCACAGGGCGGCACAGGAGGCTCGCTATAGCAGAGCCAGCTCCCCAGGCCCGTGGTGGGCAAACTGCGGCTCTTTGGCCCCTTGAGTGTTCTTACGCCACTTCTTCCAAATAGACTGGCCAACTGAAAACCGACTTCTGCGCCCGGGCCACGAAGTGCGCGCCCGCATGTGGTATTTTGTGGAAGAGCCACACTCAAGGGGCCAAAGAGCCGCGGTTTGCCGGCCACTGCCCCACGTAACCTCACGGCGGGGAACAAAGGGAAGCGATGCGGTGAGGGGCCGTCACCCCGAGGAGCCCCGGGAGCTCTCCCAGCACCGCTCCCGGGCCCTCGGAGGCGGGGGTGAGGCCCCGGGCTAAGCTGGGGCGCAGGACGGAGGGAGGACGGGGACGAGGCCTCAGCTCACGCGTCGGGGTCAAAGGGCTCCCCGTTGACCCAGTGGAACTCGTCCCCCACTCTGCGAAGGCCGATCCAGGGCTCCCTCCGCGTGAACTTGAACATAAATTCCTGCAGCGAGCAGAGAGGAAGGCTGGTCAGACCGGTCTCCTGCCTGCTTAGGGCCCCCAAGATCTACAGACACCGAGGAGTGAGGCCCAGGGTCAGAGGGCCCTGCACGCACACCGACCGCCCAGTGGCCCCTCGGGGGCCCAGCTCTGGGCCTGCCCGCCCAGGAACCCTGGCACACGGTCGCGACCTGCTCAGCAGCCCATGCCAGCTCCCTGATGCACAGGAAGCCTGGGCTGGCCCACTGGGTAGGCACCTGGGACAACCCTCAGCGCGCAGGACGGCTGTCCCTCTACTACACCTCTGGCCTCTCTGAAGAAGGGCTCTTATCCTGAGCACCAGAGACAAACAAGGGATTGTCAGGTTCTCTGCCTTTCTCACCCCCACACCCCTGCACCCAACTGCCACACAGCCACCACTGCACCCAACTGCCACACAGCCACCACTGCACCCACATCCCACACCCCTGCACCCACTCCCCTGCACCCAACTGCCACACAGCCAACAGACACCATTTCTCCCCCGTGTCTGTGGACAGAACCGTTTTGGAGGTGACACAAGAGCTCCTGTCCCAGTTGGACTAGGACAGTGGTTGGCAAACTGCAGCTCGAGAGCCACATGCGGCTCTTTGGCCCCTTGAGTGTGGATCTTCCACAAAATACCACGTGCAGGTGGCCATATATGGTGCAATTGAAACAGAAGTCAGTTTTCGGCCTGGGTGAGTCTATTTTGAAGAAGTGGCATTAGAAGTTTTAAAAATTTGGCTCTCAAATTTCAGCCGAAACCAGTTTGGCTCAGTGGATAGAGAGTCGGTCTGCAGATTGAAAGGTCCCAGGTTCGATTCCGGTCAGGGGCATGTACGTTGGTTGCAGGCACATTGCCAGTAGGGGGTGTGCAGGAGGCAGCTGGTCAATGATTCTCTCTCATCGACATTTCTAGCTATCTCTCTCCCTTCCTCTCTGTAAGAAATCAATAAAATATATTTTAAAAAAATTTTTGGCTCTCAAATTTCAGCCGAAACCAGTTTGGCTCAGTGGATAGAGAGTCAGTCTGCAGACTGGAAGATCCCAGGTTCGATTCCGTTCAAGGACATGTACCTTGGTTGAGGGCACATTGCCAGTAGGGGGTGTGCAGGAGGCAGCTGATCAATGTTTCTCTCTCATCGATATTTCTAGCTCTCTATCCCTCTCCCTTCCTGTGAAAAATCAATAAAATATGTTTTTAAAAAAATAAATTTCAATCGTTGTTACTGTGGATATTTGGCTCTGTTGACTAATGAGTTTGCCGACCACTGGGCTCGGAGATGGACGTGATTTCTCAGGTGCACTGGTCGCTGTAATTCTCACGTTACAATACCGAGCTGAGCGCAGCGACCCAGCCTGCGGTGAACAGCTGGCCCTGGCCAGGGCAGTGGACTGGCCCCCTGGGCCTGCAGACCGAGGGGCCGTCTCCGAGGGCCCCGCCCAGCACTCACCAGCTCCTTGGGGCTCTGAATCACGGCCAGCGCCGCCTCGTGGCTGTGGCAGTACTGCCGGCCGGTGTTCCAGTCCCTCGGCTCCTCGGAGAAGAAGTAGCACTTCCTGCCGTAGAGCAGCCAGTCCTCGGGGCAGGGCGCCTCACACTTGATGCAGCCCTTGGAAGCTGCGGGAGAGAGGGGTCAGCATTTCAGCAAGAACCCACGCTGCCCCCGGGCTCCCTCCACCGGCCCCACGTGGGTGCCCTCACTGACACCTCACAGCGCCGGCAGGGAGCAGGTGGGTGGCTAAGGGCAGCAGGAAGAGGAATCTGGGAGGTCTGAGGGACACGGGGGTGGGCGGGAGGGACATGACAGGTTAGCTCCTGGCTTAAGACCACCTCTCTCTCCTCTCTCTTCAAGGCATGGAACCCTGGGAACTCGGGTTCGGAACGGACTTGGAGGCCACGGGATGTGTCCTCTCTCCAGCCTCGGTGACACCCCCTGCAGGCTCAGGGGCCCTGGCCAGGCCCCACTGGCTCACAAGGCAGCCCTTCCACCACTGATGGCCGGAAGCTCTGAGTCCCAGCCTGCCCTCCTGGGACCTAGACCTGCTGGCCCGGGGCCCGCCCAGCACCCACTTGAAGGACAGCAGCCTCCCTCTCAGACACGGCCTCTCCCCCAGGCCCTCTCCGTCCGGCCTGGCTCAGCACAGGGTGCCCGCGTCACCACCACGCTGCCACCCGGCAGACAGGGGCCCCGATGGGCCCCGTCCCCAGCAACAGCCGCCACCGCGGCCTTCCGCTGCGTGGCCCGGCCTGCAGGCCGCCGCGGCCGGCTGTGTGCACACGCGTGCCGTTCTGGGCAGGAAGCCCAGAGCCTCCAGCAGGCTCTCCCAGGGCCTCCCTGCCGACAGGAGCTAAGCCCGGCTCTGACCGTGTTCCTGTGCTCTCGCTCCGAGTCAGGCCTCCCCGGGGGCCAGAACACGTGTACGTCGATTTCAAGCCCCTACGAAGGACCTCATATTTATCTGCCCCACGTTTCTCTCGCTCGGGTTGGCTCCTCTGAGTTTTTAAAGACACACGTTAATCTTGATTTTTTTCCTCGCCTGTCATAGTAAACACCCCTCTCTGGATTGTACCACCTACACATCCTGTAAGCACACGTTCTGTTTGTTTTCATACAAGTGACTGATTCAATGGAGACCAGACAGAGCCAAGAGAGGCCGATGGCGCCGCGCGGACACGGCTAACCAGCCACACGGCACACCTGCCCGGGTGCTGCGGGCCCCTCGGCCTGCCCACCCCGGGGCGGCTGCCTTCCGCTGCTTTCCCACAGGGTCCGGGAGGAGCCATCACTGAAGTCACAGCGTGCCACTTACACATCTCCCGGCCTCCCCACAGACAGGGCACCGATTTAACTCGCAGTCTCTGTCCTAGGGCAGTGGTCTGCAAACTGCAGCTCAAGAGCCGCAGTTTGCCGCTCTGTTGACGAATGAGTTTGCCAACCACATGCGTAAGGCATTACCCTTACCCAGAAGTTTTGACTTCGGGTTAAAGACCTTAGTACATTATTAAAACGTGGGTTTTTTTTTTAAGTGTTTGTCCCTAAGGCAGTGGTTGGCAAACTCATTCGTCAACAGAGCGGCAAACGGAGGCTCTGGAGCCACGTGAGGCTCACAAGCCGCAGTTTGCCGACCACTGTTCTGGGAGAACCCCAGCGGCCACCAGGGCCGCCCGGTTCTTCTCTAAACACAAACTTCCCACGTATCCTGCAGGCGAGGATTTGGAAAGGGCCGGTGTCATCAGTGGATTTTTCCCCCCATTTGGAGGTGCCCACCTCTGGTTTGATGGTGCGCCTCAAAGATTAACGACAAACCACTCCGCAAACCCTCCAGGTCCCACGGCATACGCTGCCTTGAATCCATTAAAAGCAGCCAAGTTCCCTGGTGGTGTCCGTAGGGACGGTGCCTGTCATCTTCCTCCCTCCCCGTCAGCCCACGGCGCCCTCCCGTGGCTCAGGCCCCGCCCTGCGGGCTGTTCTGCTCCCTCTCCTCCGGGAGGGAGGCCCTCATTCATCCCAGGACCTGGCACCCGTGTCTCCCCCTGTGGGAAGCCCCCCCTCCAGGGCGGGAGCACCTCTGTGTTTGCACAAGGGAGATAACAAACATCTTTATCCCTAGTACTTCTCCCAGGGCCTACCGCACAGCAGGCTCTACACATGTCAGTGAATGAATGAATGAATGAAGAATGTGATCTTGAAAGGCCCTTGTCCCAAACTCATCTCTCCAAGAAGCACTGCCCGCTTAACCCCCTGGAGTTTGCTGAGTCCTCAGGGCATCCGCTCTCCCCGCTTGGCTTAGGAAAGGGGACCTGTGGAGCCGATGTGTGAAAAGGTATTTTAAGCTGAAGTCGCCTCCGGAGCGAACACTCGGTTTGCCATTTACCCTGTCCCCCATGGAACTCCCGGGGCGCCGGGAGCTCTCCTGACCTACTTAGACACGCTCCTGAGGAGGGGGCACTCTGCACCGCATAAATGCCCGACATCCGTGCTCACCCAAGATGCTCATCACCACCAGGATGGCGAACAGGAGGACGGCGATGGCCCCGAGCAGGAGACGGGTGGTGGTGTCTGAGGAGAAGAAAAAGGGTTCAATTCCAGACCACCCACTCGCCACCCATCGCCACGCCAGCCCCACGTCCCCGGAGGGAGGAGCCGGGGGCGGGGCCGCCATCCGGTGTGACAAGCGCTCCGGTGACTGCCCTCCCTCCGGGGCTACACCTCATCTCCTCTGTGGCCTGCAGAGCTTTTCTTTAAACAATGTATTTTTATTGACTTCAGAGAGGAAGAGAGAGGGAAACAGAGAGAGAGAAACATGAATGATAACAAAATCATCAACTGGCTGACTCCAGCTCACCCCTGACTGCAGACAGAATATCTTAACTGGAAATCGAACCATGACCTTCTGGTTCATAGGTCAATAGCTTTATAATCTTTCATTTCTTGCTGTTTCTCTATATCCCCGTTCGGCCACACAGACTCACTGAAATAGCCCAGCCCAGCCTCCTGCCCTGCGGCTGGGTCTTTGCTCACAAAGGTCTGCTCCCCCAAGGCTGGGTCTTGAAATCTGCCCATGTCTACACCCTCCACCTCTTTTTCCAAAAAAAAAATTATATATATATATATATATATATATATATATATATATATATATATATGTTTTTATTGATTCCAGGGAAAGGAATGGATAGAAACATCAATGAGAGAGAAACATGGATGGGCTGCCTCCTGCACGCCCCCTACTGGGGATCAAGCCCACAACCAGGGCATGTGCTCTGAGGGGGGATTGAACCAGAGACCTCTTGGTTTATAGGTCTACGCTCAACCACTGTGCCACACTGGCCAAGCATATACCCTCCACCCTCTTGGCAAAACCTTTCCTGATCCTCTGGCTTCTCCCTTAAAAAAAAAAAAATTATAGAGGGGCAGAGGGCAATAAGGACAGATATGTAATACCTTAATCAATAAAGAAAAAACTTTAAAAAAATTTTTTTGTATTTTTTGTTACCACTTAAATTTTTCTTTTATATTTAATGAAAGAATCATTTTAGAATTTAAATATAGGGTCTTTTAAAGTTTATTTATTGTGAAAAAACATACATAACATTAAAAAAATGTCATTTTATGCCAAAACTGGTTTGGCTCAGGGGATAGAGCATCAGCCTGCAGACTGAAGGGTCCCAGGTTCGATTTTGGTCAAGGGCATGTACCTTGGTTGTGGGCACATCCCCATAGGGGGTGTGCAGGAGGCAGCTGATCGATGTTACTCTCTCATCAATGTTTCTAACTCTCTATCCCACTTCCTTCCTCTCTGCAAAAAGTCAATAAAATATTTTAATGTCATTTTAACCATTTTTAAGTGTACCGTTAGTGGCATTAATTGCATACCCAATATTGTGCAACCATCCCCACTGTCCATTTGCAAAACTTTCCCATCACCCCAAACAGAAACTCCGTACCAATTAACTCCCCATTCCCCCCACCCACCCAGGGCCTAGGAACCTCTCACCTACTTTCCATCTCTGAACTTGACTATTCTGGATATTTCATTTAAGTAGAAACATACAGTATTTGTTCTTTTGTGCCTGACTTATTTAATACTATATAATGATTTCAAGATTCATCCATGTTGTATCAGAATTTTGTTCTTTTTTATGGCTGAATAATATTTTCTTGTATGAGTAAATACACTTTGTTTATCCATTCATTTGTCTCCACTTTGTTTATCCATTCATTTGTCTCCACTTTTTGTCTATTATGAATAATGCTGCAGTAAACATCGGCATACAACTATCTGCTTGAGTCCCTGTTTCCATTCTTTTGGATAAACACTTAGGAGCAGAATTGCTGGGTCACATGGTAACGTTATGGGTAACTTTTTGAGGAACCGCCAGGCTGTTTTCACAGAAGCTGCGCCATATTACTCTCCCACTGGCAATGCATAAGCATTCTAGTGTCTCCACCACCTTGCCAACCCTGTTTTTTTGTTTTGTTTTGTTTTGTTTTTTATTATTATAGCCATCCTAGGAGTGAGAACTCCCTTTTTTTATTTTTAAGTCATTTTTTAAAACCAAAGGTATGAACGAACATAGCTGGAAGCAGCACCTCCACAGCTGGGTGCTGGTCTGTACGCCAGGATTCCTCCATAATTAGAAGAATCTAGAACCTCTGACAGCAGTGTAGCATGCCATGGCAGCCTAGGCATGGTCATGCTTCTAGCAATTCGCTTGTGTTGTCCTTTACAAACCCTGGACCGATGTTTTGTTTCTCTCTCTCCTCCCTCTCCCTTATCCAGTATCTCTGCCTTCTTGCTCTATTTCCTGGAAGATTTTTATTTTCAACTTTCCCTTCCTACCCTTCGTTGAATTTCTAAGATTATTTTCAATCTCCAAAGTTTTTTGTTTTTGGCTTAGAGGCTGCTGTTATCTGAATATTCCTCTTAAAACATCCTGTTCTTATTTTAGTGCTGCAACCCTTCCTCTGAGCTGTCCGAGGGCATTACTGAGGCGGGGAGTAGAAAGTTTATTCCGCCCTCTGTACTCGCTGTGTCCCCCGGCTTGCTTTTTTTCTGTTTATTAGTCTTGGTTATTCGTTCCTGGTGAAGGCAGGAGGGCTAGAGAGTTCACCGGAGTCCCTGAGACCATAGGAGGGGTTGGTAACTGTGTGTGGGGGTGGGGAGGGGGCCACAGCAGCTGGTCCGGCTGGGCTGACTCTCCGGGCTCTGCGCTGACTCCTCGGGTCTCTTCCTCTCCGGTGGATCGGTCCCTGGAGAGGCTCTTCTGCTCTCCCCGGAGGGAGAGGAGACTGGGAGGCTGCACTGCACATTCGCTGTGTAAGCGGCACCCTGATTGCTTGTTCTGATGTGCTGGTGCCCAAAGACCCTCTCCCCCAGACTTGCCCTCGGCTCCTGCGGGGCTGGGGAGAAGCTGTGGGGAGTGGGCCGGGGGGTCTAAGTCCTCCTAAAGGAATGTCCGTAGTCCTGTTTCCAACCACCGCGATGGCCGCGCCCACCCCGGGTCCCTCGGGTGGGTCCTCTGCCCGTGGAGTCAGGTACCGCTCGTTGCTCCCTAGCTCCCAGGTGTATGCTCTGTGGCCTCTCCTGTTCTCGTGGTCCTTGCAGCCTTCTGAAAACTCCGTTACTGCTTCTGAGCGGGCTTCCGAAAGGACAGAGAATACCTGCACGTGTTCAGGCTGCCACCTTCATCTGAAAGCCCAGCAAACATTTGGAGTCCTTCCTGTGAGCAAGGTTGACGCTGGCAGGTGACCAGGAGTCCGGAGGCGACGGCTCCAGCTCCGTGAGAGGGGAAGCTCCCCGTCCCCCCCAGGGCTGGGCTTTCTGGGTCTGCTCTGCATCCCCACGGCAGTCTGTCGTCGGGCAGATCCACCGCAGGATGGCAGGCCCCGTGCTGTATGCAGCCTGCCTCTCCACCCTCTTCTCTAGCACTGCTGTGAGCCTCTGCACGGAGGAGCAGAGTGTCTCACCCACTCACCTGGGTTCAAATCCCAGTGCTGCCACTTTCTAGATGACTGAGCAGCTTGGCAAAGTTACCTGGCTCCTATTTTACTTCATTTTCCTCATCTTTAAAAATTAATAGGGGTATCTGCCTCTCAGAACTTTACAAGAATTCAATGATGGCACGTAGAACAATGTCTGGTATGGAAGCTCAGCTTCAGTGGTAAGAGATATGATGGTGGTGATGGTGATGGTGATGGTGACAGTGATGGTGGTGGTGGTAATGGTGGTGGTGGTGATGGTGGTGATGGTAATGGTGTTAGTGATAGTGATGGTGGTGGTGGCAGCAGTGATGGTGGTAGTGGTGGTGGTGGTGGTGGTGGTGATGGAGGTGGTGGTGGCAGTGGTGGTGGTGGTGGTGGCAGTGGTGATAGTGGCAGTGGTGATAGTAATGGTGGTGATGGTGAAGGTAATAAGCTCACAGGCTCCCTTAGGCTAAGAGCTGTGTTCCACTTGCTGTTGGGGTTCCTGTAACAGGGCTGAGCCACGGCCTTGCACCCACAGGCACTGAACACACAGGGGACTGAGCTACACTGAGTGGCGATGTCCTTCGTCAGCCTAAAACTCAACTGAGTTTGCAGGAAAGGGACTCAGGAGCACCTGTTCTCCGGGAAAGCGGCATCTGGCGTCTCCAACATCACGGAACCAGGGAGCCCCGCTCCCTCCTGGAAACTGCCCTGGGCCCGCCCTGGGGACACAGAGTGCCCGAGGGAGCCTGCCCCACACACACAGCTCTGCTGGACAGTCCAAGGCAGCGCTGTACTCACTCCCACGGCCGATGCGACGAAGTGCCAGGAACCAGGAGGCGTAAAACACCCGAATGGACTGTCACTCGGTTCTAGAGGCCCGAAGCCCACAGTCAAGCTGTCAGCAGGGCCATGCTCCACCTGAAACCTGGGGGCCCTTCCTCACTTCGCCCCAGCTCCTGGCGGTGTGCTGGCGAGCTCGGGGTTCCTTGGCTCACAGACGGGTCACTCCGCTCTCCGCCTGGTCACATGGCCGCCTCCAACCGGACCTTCACCTTCATGTGAGTGTCTTTATATAAAGACACATTACATTAGGACCATGGTTGGCAAAATGCGGCTCGTGAGCCACATGTGGCTCTTTGGCCCCTTAAGTGTGGCTCTTCCACAAAATACCATGGCCTGGGCGAGTCTATTTTGAAGAAGTGACGTTAGACGTTTAAGTTTAAAAAATTTGGCTCTTCAAAGAAATTTCAATCATTGTACTGTTCATATTTGGCTCTGTTGACTAATGAGTTTGCCGACCCCTGGATAAGGAGACCACCGTACCCCTGTATGCCCACATCTTAACTAATACCTGCAATGCCCATTCTTCCAAATAAAGTCATCTCTTCGAGGGGATACAATTCAAGCCATAAACAAATGCCTAACGCAGCAACTCCCTTCAGTGCAATGGCCTGTGCTGGGGTGCAGCTTGTTGATGTTTATGCATGTATATGACTTCGCCTAATGTTAGAGGAACAACTGAAAACAAGCTGGCTTCCAAGCCCGACAAATCTCCCATCGCCCCACCCCCTCAGCCCCGGGAGCCGCACAGCGGGCGTCTGAGTGTCAGGCCCACAGCCTGGCGAGCATCATCATGACGGTTCAAAACTACCCAATGTAGAGTTTGGTAATTTTTAAGTTTTTAAGCGGCTTTGCTAAATGCATGTGTGGTTTTGGATCAGGAAGCTGTGGGTGTATGCATAACCAAGGAGCTTTCAACATTAAAAATTCAGAATTGGTGAGCACTGCCACATCCACGGCCTGAGATCTGCAGGATCACTCTGTCCCCGTCCTGGGCCCCCCGTCCCCTTCCCCCACCCCCACCCCAAAGGCCAGATACATCCCCTCTCAGACCACCTCCAGTCTTTCCAGAACCCAGGCCGGAGCGCTGGGTCACCCTTCCCCGCCTCTCTCCTGGGGCGGGAGTGGAAGGGAAGGTTAACATCCACAGGGAGAGAAGATCTGATCCTAAGTTCCGACTGGCTATCCATTTATAAAGCTAATTGCTGGTCTAAGGATAGTTCTGAAGACCTGGGCGCCACCCCCAAGGTGGGACTGGGAAGCTCTCCGTTTCACTTAGCCCGTCTGTGCTGGAGGAGGCGCGTCGTCTGCGGAGCCTGAGGAGGAGAGTGACCTGCGCCCAGAGCTCGGTTTGTTTCTGTGGAACCCGCCTCACCGCGCCCAGGGTGCTCGGTCCTCCCGGGACCGTGTGAGAGCTTTCACTGGGCCCCGTGGCAAACCCGCCAGGGGGGCTCCCGTGTGAGCCACCAACACGTGACCTTGGGCCACACGCGTGGCCTCTCTGAGCCTCGGTGTCCTCCTCTGTGAACCAGACATGACACTCCCCACCCCCCTGCGAGGGCAGACGGGAGGGTCCAGTGCGACGGCTGATGGGGAAGCCTGCGGCAGCGTGTCCGGCCCGCCGTGGGTGTCTGACAGATGCTCAGCTCGTGGTGAAAAGGGGGCACAGGTCCCCTAAGTGTTCAGCGTGGTCTAGAAGTCTCCTGTCTTTTCCCCAGATGTGCCTGGCTAAGCAGAGGCTACCAAACCCTTGGCCCCCCGAAGTGGCAGAGCCCTCATCCATCATGGGTGCTGCCAGTGTCCAGGGACTGGGCCCACTGCATGGACTCCAGTTTGGGGTGGGGAGAGGACTCAGGGTTCGCAGACCAGCAGTCAAAGGATTTCAACTGAGTCCCCCCTTCCGGACTGCAGGAGGCCCTGTGCAGGGAGGAGGGGAGAGGCGACACCGCACACAGCCCCCCCCCCCCAGCCCCCGCCTGTGGAGCCCTCAGAGGCAGAAACCACCATCCAGTTTGGCCAATGAGGAAGCGGAGGCTCACACACGGTCAAAAGCCCGGTCACCTGGGCCTTGGGTTCACTGACTCCAGACCCACCCGGCTGCCTCAGCCCCGGGCCTGTGACTGTTCCGGGGCAGGGGTGTTCCCAGGGCCAGCACCGTGTCTGGTCGAGGTGGGCACCCCACCAGTGTCTGTGCAAGGGGAGGCCGAGTGAACAGTGTGGGAGAGCAGTGCCCTGAAGGCTGGCCCTGGAGAGCACCCAGCCTGGCTCCCCTCTCTGACAGGAGACGGGACTCCCGGGGGACACCCAGGAGACCCTCGGAGGACTGGCAGAGGGCAGGCCCCCACAAGGACTCAGACTGCAGCTCCTAAAACACCTGTGGCTGAGCCCCCAGGGACCACAGGCCTCACGGTGGGGCTGGTGCTGGGTGGAGCCGCTGGAGGAGGCAGCGCCAGGGGGAGCATGAGATGCGGAGACGGGCCAGGGAGGGAGCCAGACCCGGGCATGGCGACAAGGCTGGGCCGAAGGTAAAGCACCAAGCGGGGAGTGGGCTCCCCTGGGGCTGGAAGACCCTGTCTCAAGAGAGATGCCGGGCTGTTTGCCGCCTGTCTGACAGGTGGTTGGCCAGCCACAGCGGGGGGAGGAAGCAGAGGGCAGCCCAGGCAGGGAAAGCGACCACACCACCCTGAAGTGACCTTAGCCACTGGGGACCAGAGCTAACTTGGGACAGACCCTGCAGAAATCCTACAAATGAATGCAGGAAGAAATACAGGCAAGAGGAGCGAGCAACGTGAGGAAGTACGGTAGGCAGGAGGGGAGCGGAGAGGGGGCGGGTCACGGGCTAAGCCAGCAATGCTGCGCACCTGGCGGCTGTTTCAGAGCGAGGGGTGTGCCCACCTCCATCCCGCTCAGCTCTCCTCAGCCTGCGGCCCCCCAGATCCAACATCTTTACCTCCTTTGTCCCAAATCACCACCCAGGCACCGGCCTTCCCCTCCGGAGTCCGAGTCCCCTGTTCACAGCCTTTGGGCCAAACACGGACACGTAGATCCCCACCTTCCCCTCCTCCACCAGGCACCTGCCCGGCCGGGTGCCACTGAGGGGTCCGCCCCACCCCCAGCCCCACTGTCCTCCTGGCCTGGCCCTGGTCCAACCCCCCAGCCCCCTCCCCCGAGACACCACTGCTTTTCCGAGGACAAACCCACTGTCTCGTTCCATGCTTTACTCTCTCTGTGGCTCCTTCAGACCAAGTTCAAACTCAAACCCACTGTCTCGTTCCATGCTTTACTCTCTCTGTGGCTCCTTCAGACCAAGTTCAAACTCTTGGGCTCGGTCCTCAGACTCATCCCCTCACTCTCTCCTGTCCCCCCCACCCCATTCCTGGTGTTCATGAGTGCAGTTCCCCACGGGGGACAGGCCGGCTCCGGCCACCTGGCCCCTGACCGTGTCACTCCTGGCGCCTGGCAGCCCTTCCTTCTCCTCCGGGGTGTGAGGGGTCACTCACCTAGGACGCTCTCCTTTCCCCCTCGCCCTCCCTAAGGAGGGAGCCTGTGAGCCAGACTCTGGGCTTCCCCTGGGGACACGGCCCAGGCCCTCGCCCCGGAACGGAACGGGGCCAGAAGCCTCTGTTGTGCCGGCTCCAGCGGCTCCACGGCACACACCGCCAGTGGCCAGCACAAGTTTTCTAGAACTCAGAACCCATTCTCCACTCGCTCACTGCCCGCTGGCCAGCCAGGGGTGCTCACCTCTCCCTCCCCCAGTGGCCCGACCCCACCGGGTGCCCCCCTCTCACTGGACACTGGTCTACAGCTGTCCGCCCTTTGCCCAAGGCATTCCCACGGCCACAGACAGTCAATGCCCATCCGGTGAGGACCAGACAGACACTCCTGAGCAAACAGGCTGGGCTCCAAGGTCAAAAAGTGAGCGAGCCGCAGAGACAGGGTCACGGCTGTCACGATGGGGGGGTCCCCAGTGACACCCCTCTCCCCGCAATGTGTCCCCTAACTGTCCCAAGCCAATCCTCGGGATTCCAGACCCCCACCCCTCCCGGGACCCCAGCCAAGGTGACTCCTACCCGCCTCCCCGGCCCCGGCGCCGGGTCAGGGCACCAGGCCGCCGCACCTTACCCTCCAAGGCCGCCTTCCAGCTGGTGCTGCCCTCGTAGCCGGAGCCGGAGCGCCGCAGCAGCCCCTCGGGGCCGCGGGCCTCCGCCTCCCCCGGCGAGCGCGGCCGGGGCGCGGCGGGCGCGGGCGCGGGGCGGGCGGCGGGGGGCGGCGGCCGGGCGCGCGCGGGGGGCTCCCGGGCCGGCTCCATGCCCGGCGCTCCGCCCCGCCGCGCCCGCGCTCCGGCGCCCGGGTACGGGGCCCGGCCCCACGCACACTCGGCGCCGCGCGGGCCCTGCGGACCCCCCAGGCCGCCCCCGCGGAGCCCCCAGGCGGCCTCGGCGGGCGAGGGCCGCGGCTCGTGCGGACAGGGCTGCCGGCTCCCCGCGCCGCCCGCTGCGCCCGCTGCTGCCGCCGAGCCTGCCCGCCGCAGCCTCCGCACCGCGCACCGCGCACCCGGCGGGGAGGAGCCGGGCGGCGCGGGGGGCGGGGAGGCCGGGTGCTACGAAATGAGAAACGAGGATGCTAAACCCAGGGCACCTGGCTTCTAAGCCAGCCCCCACCCTCCAGCCTCCTTCCTGTGGGGCTCAGTTAAAAGGGGTAAAAAGAAGGGCAGAGGATGGGGTGGGAACCTGGTGGAGGGGAGCAATGGGGGGAAGAGGGACGAGGAACATTAATAATAATATGAACAATAAAGATTTATTTTAAAAATATATAAAAATAATAAATAAATAATAAAAAGGGTAAAAAGTTGCTGAAACTGGATAGAGTGGATAGAATGTCGGCCTGCGGACTGAAGGGTCCCAGGTTCGATCAAGGGCACATGCCCGGGTTGCGGGCTCCATCCCCAGCAGGGGGCGTTCAGGAGGCAGCTGATCAATGGTTCTCTCTCATCATGGATATTTCTATCGCTCTCTTCCTCTCTGAAATTAATAAAAATATATTTTTAAAAAAATAAATAAATTAGCTGACGACAGCCCCAGTTTAGGTTGAGAACTGGAATTAAAGAGGCCAAGGGCAATTCTGAAGGCCGCACCATCAAGTGTGTGGGTGGCCGTTCTCCCACCCCAGCCCAGGGCCCCTTCCCCACCCACACACCCTCCACATCCCCTCCCTCGCTCCCAGCCTCACTTCCGCCGCCCGCCTCCAGCGCTGAACTTCTCACCTGTTTCCTACTCCTCTGTGGCTCCTGGTCCTCAGCTCCCCTGCTCTCTCCCCCCACATCCAACCACCCGTCAACAATGAGGAATTCTCCCTTTGAAAGTCTGGGCCGGCCCATTTCTTTCTGCTCCTACAGCCACTGGCCGCATGCAAACCAATTCCACCTCTTATCTGCTGCTCCACAGCAGCAGCCTCATGAGGGGTCTCAGTTCCTCTTCCCTCAAAGCCAGCCCCTCTGTCTGGGCACCGAGGGAGCTTCCTAAAGTGACAAACTCACCGGTTGTCCAGGCTCCCCCTGCCTGTGGGTACCAGCTGCCAAGTCCCTCAGGGTCCAAGTCCTGCTCACATGTTAGGCTCTGTCTTCTCACCCCCCCTGCCCCCCCCCCCCCGGAAGCCCCTGGAATCCCCATGTGCCTACCTAACCTCTGCTAAAGCTGCAGATTGCACATCCTAGGACACTGCATTCACTCAGATTAGGTTCAGCTGACAATAAGAGAAAAACCCAATAACAGCGACTAACGTAGAAAGAGTTTACTTTTTCTCTCATAAAAGGAATCTGGCCCTGGCTGGTTTGGCTCAGTGGATGGAACATCGGCCTGAAGACTGAAGGGTCCTGGGTTCAATTCCTGTCAGGGCACATGCCTGGGTTGCAGGCCCAATCCCCAGTGAGGGGTGTGGAGGAGGCAGCTGATTAATTATTCTCATCAGTGATATTTCTCTCTCTCCCTCCCTCTCCCTTCCTCTCTGAAATCAATTAAAAAAAAAAAAAAAAGTCTGGAGGTGGTCAGTTCAGGACTGAATTGAGAGCTCCGAGGTTTTCAGAGTCCCAGGCTCCTTCTTTCTTTCTGCTCATCATCCCTCCCATGCACATCCATCTTCCAGATTCCCTCACAGTCACAACAGGGCCACTGCGGTTCCAGCCATCACACCTGGCACCAAATCGCAGGAAGCAGGAAGGACGACAGGGCTCCTTTAGAGAGCTTTTCTGGAAGCCCAGTGACTTCCTCTCATGGCTCACTGACCACTTCCATCTGCCCGGAGGTCTGGGAGGGGGTGGTGTTACGGGAGAGTCATTGCCACGCCCCAAACACAGGCGATCTGTTAAGCAAGAAGGGGAGACAGGATTCCGTGCTCAACCAGCAGCTTCAACACCAAAAGCTTTCTGTGACTCAAGCCTGTGTCTGGCGACTCTCCTTCGGTTCCCAGGACACCCTCTCCCTTTCGGACCATGGCCCCGGCCTCACCCTGTTGTCACCACTCATCTCCCAGCCAGACGGTAGTCAGCTGCATGGGGGCAGGCCCGGCTCTGTCCCCTGCTTCCAGCCCACTGCCTGGCGGGAACACAGACCTAAAGCTTCAGGTGTGGTCACAGAGACACACAGAAACAGCAAGGGCGTTGGAGCAGGGACACATCCTGGTCGTCACGTGCTTCAGAAACAGCAGCTGTGGTGTCCGGTGCGAGGACGGTGAGAAGCTCCTGCAATGACCATCCTTGCTTAGCATGTGTCATCCTCCGTCCCTGTTCACCTCAGTCCATTCTGAGGGTTCCTGCCCTTCCCAGGTTGCATGAGAACCCCCAAGGCTTAAGAGCGAAGTCATGGCCCGCCCAATGCTGCTTGGTGGATGAGTGTCGGCCTGCGGACGGAAGGGTCCTGGGTTCAATTCCTCGTCAGGGCACATGCCCAGGTTGCAGGATCGATCCCCAGTGTGGGGCTTACAGGAGGCAGCGATTCATGATTCTCTCTCATCATTGATGTTTCTATTTCTCTCTCGCTCTCCCTTTCTCTCTGAAATCAATAAAAATATATTGAGAGAGAGAGAGAGAGAGAGAGAGAGAGAGAGAGAGAGAGAGAGCACGCCCTAACTGGTTTGGCTCAGTGGATAGAGCATCAGCCTGCGGACTGAAGGATCCCAGGTTCGATTCCAGTCAAGGGCATGTACCTTGGTGCCGGCACATCCCCAATAGGGGGTGTGCAGGAGGCAGCTGATCTATGTTTCTCTCTCATTGGTGTTTCTATCTCTCTATCCATCTCCTGTCTCTTCTACTCTGTAAGAAATGCAGTAAAAATTTTAAAATTAATTAAAATAATAAATTAAAAGAGAGAGAGAGACAGAAGTCCCAAATGACACCTATTGTCAAATCAGCATGTCCCTCGGAGCCCACAGGTCCTGCCTTTCATGGGATATGGGGTTTGGATGGTGCTGAGATTCGGGGGCCAGAGCCCTGCCCTCCTGGCCACGCTGTCCTGTGGTCTCCTCCAGGGCTACCATGATGGTGGTGGGCCCTACTGCCAGGAGGAGCCCCCAACCTCTCAGGCCTTCCCAGGCAGGGGCTCCCCCTGTCACATCCCCACACCCCCAAGGCCCTCTCCCACCCCCTCCTTCTGCAGGACGCCCTCTCTCTCTCCCCTTTCCCTTCCTATCTGAAATCAATAAAAATATATTTTTAAAGAAAAGAAAAGCCAGTCCTGGCCCAGAGACTGGCTTCTGGAGGAGAACAGCATCTCGGTAATGACCCTGCCAAAACCGTGGTCTCCGCATTAGCCCTCTCCCTGGAGGGCAGCGGGACCGGCAGGGACGGAACACACAGCTCCACCCGAAGGAAAAACACCACATGGACAAACATAAACATGGTGCTCTTTATTTTTTTTAAATATATTTTATTGATTTTGTACAGAGAGGAAGGGAGAGAGATAGAGAGTTAGAAACATCGATGAGAGAGAGTCATTGATCAGCTGCCTCCTGCACACCCTCCACTGGGGATGTGCCCACAACCAAGGTACATGCCCTTGACCGGAATCGAACCCAGGACCCTTCAGTCCCCAAGCCGACGCTCTATCCATTAAGCCAAACCGGTCTCGGCAAACATGGTGCTCTTATTACAACACTAACACAGAGGCTGTTTTCATGCAAACAATAGCTACATTTTTAAGCCAACTTTTCTTTAGAGTTTGGTATATTATTACTAGCATGTGCTTCTAAGCACTTTTTAAGTATACTGAAATACTTGTTTTTTAAACAAAAGTGAATATTGTAAGAATAAGCACTGTTTCCTGTAGAACTGAAACTATTTCCATTTTGAATGGAATAAAAATACAGCCTAGCCAAAACTGGTTTGGCTCGGCGGATAGAGCATCCGCCTGAGGACTAAAGGGTCCCAGGTTTGATTCTGGTCAAGTGCATGTACCTTGTTCGCGGGCACATCCCCAGTGGGGGTGGTGCAGGAGGCAGCTGATCGATGTTTATCTTTCATCAATATTTCTAACTCTGTTCCTCTCCCTTCCTCTTTGTGAAAAAATCAATTATATATATATATATATATATATATATATATATATATATATATATATATATATATATAAATAATTTAAAAATACAGCCTTTTTTTTTTAACATCCGTATATCCGTTGGTTTGACTTTGGAACCGTGAAAGGACCAAGTTCCTCTGGAGCCCGCCCTCCCCGCATTCTTGCTGTGGATCGCCCACAGGAGGCGCAGGTGGCCCAGGAGCCTCCACCTGAGTCCCGGGCAGAGGTCCTGCACCTGTGCCCGCACATCGAGGGGCGGGGGCACTGCCCTCAGCCTGAGGTCTAATCTTGTTGCAGAAAATCCGCTGTTGGTGCCTCTGAGGCTCACCCGCACGCAGAGCCTCAGACGGGCCGTGGCGGGCAGGACGGGGAGCAACGCCCCGAGCTTCCAGCACATGGGGAGACACTGAACTGCCCTCTGGTCCTGCGGCTCCGCGCTACTCCCCGCGCACCGGCGCCACCTGGGCTGGAGCCCGGGGTCTGTGCCTCCGAGGCCCGACCTCCAGCGGGTGTCCTCGCCCCCTCCCAAAAAGTCCAAAAAATTTAAAAGATTCTTTCCAAAAATCGGGACTTTTTAAAAACGTCGCGGGACAAATTGTTAAGAATCGGGACTGTCCCGCCAAACCCGGGACGTCTGGTCACCGTTACCCAAGGATCAAGTCCTGTCCCAGCAGCTTCGGGGAGGGGATCGGGACCCTGCTCCAGGCCAGGGAGGAATCGCCCGCCACCCCCATCCCTGGGCTGGGGAAGGGAAAGCA